GTCACTAAAATAGTATTAAGCTCTTGGAAATTCTTCGAGACATTTGAAAACAGTTTTGAAGAACTCTAATACATCAAATATTTAAGGCTCTTAAAGGTTAAAGGTCCAAAGACAAATGACAATGGTCTTGAATACTCTCAAAATCTTTGAGACTCTCGATTACTAAAGGTTTTTAATAAGGATTCATGAAAGTTCCTTAAGGGTCTTAAAAGGCTTTCCAAAGATGGGCTTTCAAAGGTTACATTTCTATTGAAGGTTCCAAAACGACTAGACGAGCGGGATACACAGAAAAATGCTCGCGGAGCCGCAGCTTAAATGATTCTTACTCCAAAGACCACAAAAATAATACTAATATAATAATAATAATATTCATAGCTTTGATGGATTCATATAAATCCTTTTAAAGGTTCAACCAATAAATACTTAAAATCAATCTGGAAGAACTCGAAACTTCTTCGAGACCCTCTGCTGTTTTTGGTGACTAAAAGCTCTGCAGTTCGTAAGGATATTTAAGTCGTCATAGAGAGTCTCTCAAAGTCAAGCTCACATAGGCTCGATTCTTGAAAAAAAAAGGACTCTTGTCAGATTCTGGACGACTCTTCGAAAGATATAAGGTAGGTACCCTTTGGATGTGTTGGGAGTTTGCAATTCTTACAAAGCTGATAAAGGAGATCGCCAGCTCCTTATGATGGTAATGATCTTGGACGAACAGACAGAAAGTAGGATTTCTTCTTATTATGGATAGGTACCTAGGTACTGAATGTTTTAATTCAAAAAGAACCTTCATTTATTGTAAGTATGGTTTAATTGTTGCCGTTTTATTTCACTTAATAAACAATAATGTGTAAAAGGCTCTCGATAAAAAGTAGTCTCATCTGCAGTTAAAATTTAATGAAAATTGATGATTTGAAATTTTGGCGTCTGTAATACGAACGCTATGTGACTACGTAAGTAATTATGAGTACGAGTAGTTACTAGTTATCGAATGCGATATAATAAATAAAAGTGCTATGTCAATAACGTCCACTAATTAGGAACATACATGATAAAGAGTTTGTAATTAGAATTCTTTGTTTGTTTAAATGTAAGTATATAAATCCCTTTAAAATTGAAAAAGTTACATTTTTAATACTGGAATCCTGGCGATCATTTTGAGAGTGCAATTTTATAATGGCATCAGAGCGAATTTTGATTGGCTGTTATTAAGGGGTGGTCGCGACATGCATTGATCTGAGGGATGCTGCGCAAAAGCTCATCAGATTTCAGAAGGGGTCGTCGAGATTAATAATCGTATACCATTCGGAAAAAAAGTGGTAACGTTAGACTAAGAATAACTTTAACCTTTGACCTGAACTGATTTACCCCCGTAGCGCCGCTTATTACACACAAATCAGATTTCCTTATCGTGACCTTTTCAACCTTAAGACTTTCGACGCTAATGGAAAAAACGAAGTCGGTTATAAAATTTAAACTAAGCACTTAATTGCGTGAATACGTTTTGGCTATCATGTATAATGCGGCGCGATATTCACCTTTGCCAACTTACCCGATTCATCACTGGAGACAAAAGACTTGTGTATATTTCGATTACAAAATTGCCCATTCCCACAAAACAATAACTTCAGTTAAGATAATTAACTAATTACCGTGGGAAATGATTAGATGGATAGGCAAAATTGTACGCCTTGATTTCGCATTATGGGTTGCATAAAATCAAATGCGTTCAGCAGTGTTATATACTATTAATTACTATTAGCTTTGACTATAAAATTTATATTCAAAGCTATTAGCATAGACTCGGGAAAACACTTTTTCTTATTAATTTTGGTGCGTAGAATCCAAAACAATTTGTACAATTCGTACTTTTTCGATCAGACTTCTCAATCAAAAGTTATAGACTAGAAACCAATTTCGAAAGAAAATTCAAAGGGCTGTAACTTTTGAAATAGTAGCCCAATCTTGGAACTGTTTGAAATTATGGATTCTACAGGCCACATTCTATAAGAAAATTTTTTTTCCGGGTCGATCTGAGCAATTTTTTTTTCGGGCCTCAAAAAAAGGCAGTGTATAACCTTCCTTTTTTACCAAAAATCGACTACACCAAAATTTCTCGGGAAAACACTTTTTCTTATTAATTTTGGTGCGTAGAATCCAAAACAATTCGTACTTTTTCGATCGACTTCTCAATCAAAAGTTATAGACTAGAAACCAATTTCGAAAGAAAATTCAAAGGGCTATAACTTTCGAACTAGAAGCCCAATCTTGGAACTGTTTGAAATTATGGATTCTACAGGCCACATTCTATAAGAAAATTTTTTTTCCGGGTCGATCTGAGACAATTTTTGTTCCGCTCCTCAAAAAAAGGCAGTGTACAACCTTCCTTTTTTACCAAAAATCGACTGCACCAAAATTTCTCGGGAAAACACTTTTTCTTATTAATTTTGGTGCGTAGAATCCAAAACAATTCGTACTTTTTCGATCAGACTTCTCAATCAAAAGTTATAGACTAGAAACCAATTTCAATTTAACAAACTGTATGAATACGGTGTTAGAGGTATAGCTGCCGACTGGCTAAGCTCATACCTGGTAGGAAGAACTCAGGAAGTGAAAATGGTTTGGCAAGGAGGAGTGGTTAAGTCGGACAAAAAAGTGGTGTCACATGGTGTTCCTCAGGGCAGTACGCTGGGGCCTCTTCTATTCATTATTTTTATTAATGATATATTTAATAATAATAATAAAAGTTTTTTAACGTTATTTGCTGATGATACGTCTAGTATAATCACCGGTAATGAGCCAGACACCCTGTGTAGCCGTGCCAACGAGAGTGTCATGGAAATCAGCAGGTATTGTGCAGATAATGGGGTTTTCTTGAACTCGTATAAAACTCAAGCGATTCAATTCTCAAAAAGTGGTCTTAATAGCAGTCTCCTATGAGTCCTAATTAGACTAAATAATCATACTATAAGGCAAAGCGATAGTATAATATTTCTTGGACTCCACTTGGACAACAATTTCTCTTGGAATACCCAAATAAACATAGTTATTAAGAGGTTAGCTACTCATTGTTACCTAATTCGACAACTATACGATGTAGTTCACTGTGACTGTCTGACTTCTTACTACTATGCTCATGTCCAGTCTACTCTCAATTACGGTATTATTTGTTGGGGTACCAGTTGCAGAATGAACGAGGTAATGATTAGCCAGAAGAGAATTTTAAGAGCCATGCATGGTAAACCACCACGGTATTCATGTAGGGAACTCTTTGTACAATCTAATATACTTACAGCTGTATCTTTATTTATTCTTAATAATCTTGTATTCATACATAGTAAGAAAGATCTACATCAACCCGACTCGGTAGCTAATAATGTTAATCTAAGAAACAAGCGGAATTTGAGAATACCCAAGCTCAACCATGCTTATATTGCCAACCATTTTCCCGCCATTGCCATTAAACTTTGGAACAAACTACCGGAAAACGTAAAATGTATCCATAATCCATCTAGGTTTAAACAAACTATAAAAAAACATGTTGGTAAAGATGTGCATTTATAGGTTAGACGAATACTTGAACAGTAAAATTGTTGCAGGTATGTAATGTAACGTGTAGGTAGTGTATTTTTATTTATTTTTTACTTATTTATAATTTATACTTAATTATATAATTTGTAATTTATAATTTTGACGTTCCAATGCTTGTATACAAGTCTCATGGAATAAACGGTACTATTATCATTATTATTATTATTTCGAAAAAAAATTCAAAGGGCTGTAACTTTTGAACTAGTACCCCAATCTTGGAACTGTTTGAAATTATGGATTCTACAGGCCACATTCTATAAGAAAATTTTTTTTCCGGGTCGATCTGAGACAATTTTTTTTGCGGGCCTCAAAAAAAGGCAGTGTATTACCTTCCTTTTTTTATAAAAAATCGACTAGACCAAAATTTCTCGGGAAAACACTTTTTCTTATAAATCCTGGTGCGTAGAATCCAAAACAATTCATACTTTTTCGATCGGACTTCTCAATCAAAAGTTATAGACTAGAAACCAATTTCGAAAGAAAATTCAAAGGGCTATAACTTTCGAACTAGAAGCCCAATCTTGGAACTGTTTGAAATTATGGATTCTACAGGCCACATTCTATAAGAAAATTTTTTTTCCGGGTCGATCTGAGACAATTTTTTCTTCTCGCCTCAAAAAAAGGCAGTGTACAACCTTCCTTTTTTTACCAAAAATCGACTGCACCAAAATTTCTCGGGAAAACACGTTTTCTTATAAATCTTGGTGCGTAGAATCCAAAACAATTCGTACTTTTTCGATCGGACTTCTCAATCAAAAGTATATAGACTAGAAACCAATTTCGAAAGAAAATTCAAAGGGCTGTAACTTTTAATTGAGAAGTCTGATCGATAAAGTACGAATTGTTTTGGATTCTACGCACCAAAATTAATAAGAAAAAGTGTTTTCCCGAAAATGTTAGGGGTGGTCGATTTTCGCTAAAAAGCAAGGCTTGCTATATTTATTGTAATATTATTGTGGTTTTTTGCTTTGATAATGGACTGCTGTTAATCAGACCGAAACTAATGTCAGCTACTGTACAACTCATTCTGCAACACCTGCTACAGCAGAAATATAAAATTGACTGGAGGAAGACATCTTATGTTATTAATATTTCCACCCAATTTGAGATTATGGAACTGGGTCCTGGCAAAGGGAATGTGGTGTCCACCAACATAGAGTAATAGGTACTCTATGCCACGGACAAGATCTTACTGATGATGCATTGTAGTCCCTTCTATCTCACATGAGGTCTTTGACAATTTTGAGTGCCAAAGCATTCTTCACCTATATCAGCGATTCTTTTAGATTTTGGCTTGTAGACTCCATAAATGTTGAAGGTTGGCTTGGTAACGGTGGTGCTGCAGAAGACTTACCTTTGCTTGAGACTTTAGCTGTTTTTCATAAAGTCCTTAGAAGATGAAAAGAAACACAAAAGCGGTTTATATATTCATCTTAATAACTTAATATCAACAAATATAGAATACATTAAATAAATATTGCTAGTAACTTCCCTATGCTAATCAAATGTCATTACATCATGCCCATTATTAGGCCACTGTTCTGTATCGGTATCTCCATCAGCTTCATGATCAGACCCGGTAGGCGCTTGGGAAGTGTACGTTGTTGACTCCCCTCCCATCGACATGTAATAACTCGAGTCCATTTTGTTGGAGGGCGGAGATCTCCCGATATTATTGATACCTTCGAGTGCTCGCTGATTTTGCGAGTCCAATCTTAACGCAATATGATAGTGTTCGAGTGCATCGTCGTCCTTTTGCAGACGTCTGTAACAATCGGCTAACATTTGGTGCACTTTGGAGGACGATTTCACTTCGGCGTGACGTTTCAGTAATGCTATCGCTTCGTCGTAGGACTGCTCGTGTTCCAGCTGTTCGGCGAGCATGCAAACACCGTGCGTGTAATTTGGGTCGTTCGTGATGGCCAGCTCTAAAATGTTGCGCACTTGGACCGTATTCATCGGATCCTTTAATAGGACCGACGCGTACAACTGAAAAGAGCAACTTTTTTTTTGTTCAATTAAAAAAAGGTGTCGCTTACTGTGAGTGCAGCGGGCGCGTGGTCCATTTGTTTGCAGGTATTTTTGGCCACTGTCATCGCTTCGCGTAGTCTGTTCATCGCCACGTAACTCTGCACCAGACCGTAGTTGGATTCGAATCTAAACATACATTTTTTTTATAAAATACTGTAGACATACAGATTGTAGAAAACTCTTCTAGTATAAAAACGGTCACGTCAATCATGGCAAAACTGGCCGCCTGTGAAGTCTCCACAAATTATGCATTATATTTTCATCTCCATCTAGCCCATGCGAAGAAAAAGACGTCAGTTTTGCAGTAGGCGGCTACTTGCGACTGTTTTTATACTAGACGACATTAGTTAATGTGCTTATAAACAAAAGATATAAGGACTACATGATAATTGGCAAAATATAGTGAGCTGTGAACTTATTTTAAAAAACAAAAATGGAAAACAGACTAGAACTTGTCAATAATCTGATAGTAATAATAATAATAATTGATTTTATTTCCACTACTAATAAACATACACCTTACCGATTGGGGCAATATTGTAGAGCTTCTCTATAATGAAGTGACGCTTCGTGGTATTTGTTGATTTGCATGAATGTCGCCGCTTTCAGTAGCAGTGCCTCAATGTTCCGTTTGTTGAGCAGGCAAGCCTGTTGGCCAAAGTAAGCGGCGCGTTCGTACTTGCTATTGACGAACATGTGATACCCCATGACGACCCAATGTTCGGTGGACCACAACGACGTATCGAAATCGGGAATCAAATGTTCCAGATCCTTGTGATGTTCTTTTTCGGTCGAGTTCGCAAGTAAAGTCGCCAATAGGTCTCTTCCGTTTATATAATATGGCTCATTCCTTGCGACCTACGGGTAAGAAATCAAGGGTGCACATCAAATAGTTCAGAAACATTGTGGTTAGATTTCTTGGCAGCTTACAGAAACTGCACTCTCGAGCCATACGCACCCTTTGTAAAGCTGCCAAGGCCTTCGCTTCATCACACAACAAATTATGACATTGTGCCATATTCACGAGTAAGGCGGAGTTGTTGCAAAGATTGCCCGGAGTGTCCAAACTTTTAAATGTCGCAACCGCACTTCTGTACTCTCGCAGATACATCTCGGCAAGACCTCGCAGCCAAATACTAATCCAATTTAATTCGGTCGTAGCTCCTAGCATTAACGAATTAACTTCGGTACCCTACAAAAGAACGCGGCAAATAGGCGAAGCTTTCAGTCGAGGTTTCTTACCTTCACGCCTAACTTTAATAAATTTTCGACGACGTCCATCGCCAGCGGACACTCCTTGAGCACCTCCTTATAGCAGGCGATTGCCGGCCTTTCCATACCCGAATCTCGATATAAATTGCCTAACGCCATGTTTATTTTGGGGGTGCGATTTCGGGCGGAAATACTCTGAAGTACCTCAATCGCTCGCTGTGACCGTTTCAGTTTGAGACAGCACAAATGGATTTTGTATTTAATGTCGACGTCGGTCATAAATTCCTTGTCCTCTTGCACTTTGGCGTTTTTCGATTTCAAAAGGTATTTCCGCATCTGTAGGGCAGTCGTGTAGGTGCTTTCGGCGGTTTGGTACTGTTGCGTATTGTACAAGGCTTCGGCATAGTAGACTTGTAGTTGGAATTTGCCAAACTGCAAGGTGGGGTCATGTTTTTGATCGAATGCGGATATCGCAAGTTCACCCTGTAAGAAAGTCATTATTTGGACGGTGCCTTGAAACGTTATTTCGGCGCTTACGAGTTTTAACAAGTCGGAGTAGAGCTCTTGGTTGTACAATAAGGAAATTTGTTTAATAATTGTGTTCATGTTTATACTTTTTGTCTTGAGAAAAAACGTTAGTAGTTCACTTCACTTTCGATCGTAGTTCATATGTAATGGTAGCGTTCCATTGAACTTTTATGTTTTACCGTTATACTAAACACGTCCACATGTGGTGTAGCGCATAATTTGCGCATTATAAGGACGTAGTAGATGGCGCTGTGTTTAAAGATAAGCACACACAGGAAAAATATAAAACGGCACAAAAGTACTGTAAACTACAAAATATCCATCACTGCAAACAGAAATGAATGTTTGGCATTAACACTTAATGACACTTCAATAGATTACTTGCACTCTTCCGACACTACGTTCTCCAGGTAATTTACAGGTTTTATGTTTTAACCCCATAGATGGACGTTTTGTAAACTGGCTTGCATTTGCTATCCTAATGCTTAATGACACACTAGCTCCTTAAAAGTAACTATTTTTGAAAGAGCAAAACAATCTGAAGATATCTAGAGCAATCAAATGCTAGCCACCTTACAACGCATTTCCAAGGAGGCAATATTTTGCACTGAGGAAAGGAATATATAATTATAGGCCTAGGATTTACTGAAAAGAGCATCGATAGCCCGGAAAATGGACAGAACCTACGTTGAAAGGCAGCGAAAACTTTAGAAAGGGTCTAGGGCCCTTCGAATGCACCAGAGATTCAAAGGTCTGAAATGATCTGGAAGGGTGATACGATGCCCTGTAGAGAGGGATCTGTCTGATCACAAAAGTGCAATAGGTTTTTAAAATTCAGTTTTCACAGAATTAAGTCCCACCCCCGGGCCTTTGACGCGAATTTCGTAACACTCTGTATACGATTGACGTCATGCTAAACACATCCATGTTTAACGAAAAATCAACAAATCCAAATTAAGGTTATAATTAATTGAACTCGCACGTGTTTCCAGAATGAAAAGGAAAACAAAACGAGAAATTTCAGAATCAAGCGATTCCGAAAGCGACAGTTCCGAGGCAGAGGTACGATTTATCATAACGTTCCCGACCGTTTTTTTAAATGACTTCTTGCAGTTACAAGAAGCGTTCGCAAAGGGACTACTAAAACCAGGACTCAACATCGTGGAAAACGCTCCGAGAAAGTTCGTAAATGACGAAGCCAGTTTAAAACAAAAGTTATTGGAATTTCAACTAAAACTACCATGGATCGAAAGATTGGATTCCACAAATGATCCTGCTCCGCTTGCACCGGAAATGGCCGCGCAAATTTTGGAGCAGGAAGAGAAACAAAAAAGTTTACGAAGCAACAACAAAAAGTTACCACAGATAGCGATCGAAAATGATCCCGTACTGAACGATTTCAAACGCGAAATGATATTTTATAGACAGGCGCAAGCGGCCGTGTTGTCCTCGATCCCCAAACTTAAAGCACTCAAAATTCAGACCAAAAGGTAACTAGGCACCCGAATTTACTTGTAATAATAGTCAATTTGTAGACCTGACGATTATTTTGCGGAAATGGCAAAATCAGACGAGCACATGCAGAAAATAAGACAAAATCTGATGCAAAAGCAACTTGGCAAAGAACGAAGCGAAAAAATCAAACAGCTGCGTTTGCAGCACAAGGAGGGTAAGGCGTTGCAGACGCAAACGAAGTTAGAACGCCTAAAAGAGAAGAAACAAATACTCGACCGAGTGAAAAAAATGCGAAAGGGCGCAGAGAAAAACTTTGATTTTCTGAATCAAGACGACTCAAAGAAGAAGGGCGGGAAAAAGGCATTAGACAAGCGTAAAGTACGCAACGAGCGATTTGGTTACGGTGGCAAAAAGCGTGGCTCAAAGATGAACACAAAGGAGAGTTCTGCGGACTTTGGTAATCACAGGGGAAAGGGAAAGGCGAGTAGGCCGGGCAAAAATCGACGTAACAATGTAAAAAATAGGCGCAAATAAATGTATTTTACGTTTTTGTGTTCATATTCTCGGGGACAACCTTTGCAACTTTTCTCAGTTCTTTCGTGTACATTTTCGTGCACTGCATTTGCGTCCAGCTAATTGGTACCATCGGATAACCGTGTTCGGAATGCGCGATGACAACACCTAATTCGTTTTCGGCTGTCGACAGGTTGTACGTGTGTGCTTCGGTTATCGGTAACTTTGGATTGTTAAGGTGCTTCAATCGTTTAACAAAAATGCAGAAAGGATACGACTCGTGCCAAGATTACATCGCCAGGACGATAACTTTTGTAAATTTGTACGCGATCTTTGTCGGTTGCGCATACATCTTCTCTTCTTAAAATTCCCCTATACGTTCGGCTAAGCACCGTGTTTCCGATGCACTTTATTACGCACTTGCAAAAGTCTTGGGTCAATATCGTAACTTGAGCCGTAACAATATCTCCTTGTGTGGGAACTAAGGTCTGTTCCCCAGTACTTTGCACTTCGACCACTTTCACCTGAAATATTCAATGTAAGCTCTAGAAATTTTATACAGTGGGTGCTCACGCCATCCTTATCCACCACATCTACAACGCCGGCCAAGGAAGAATAAATATATCCCTGTCGTTCGTAGGTTCCTTGGCCAGATTCGTGGGTCTTGTCGAGAATACAAAGCCGTTGGCCAGGAACACATATTAGTGGTTTTGTCATTTTTAAAATTACGGAAAATTTGAGGTTAAATTTCTTGAAGGTTAAAAAAAGGTCGCATTCTGTGAGATTCGTTGGATTGGGCGCATAGAGGTTGAATTAAACCGCAATTTTGTCAATTATGGCCGTGCCGTATGCACCGAACAAGTTTAGCAGGCTTAGTTTAAGTGTAGCTTAATATCCATGGTAACGATTATTGGGACAATGGTTGTCAAATCAATTGATTTTAAGCTCAGCTTAAATTTTTACGGTGCATACGGCCATAAGTTACTCCGCGCAATCGTTGACTCACCCTGTACAAATTGTACTACATGAACACCTTTTCGAGCGGCGGAATACAATACATGTTACTGCAGTACAATTGCTCTATAAATCCTACATGAAATTGCACATTTTCAACTGCCCTTTAAGGAAAATTGAGTCGGACGTGGCTATTAAGTGCATAAATTAAACTGTTCTTTTGAAGGTAGTTTCGTATGTGACGACATCTCATTGGAAGATCAGGTTTTGTTCTAGTAGTAGCTGCAATATACTTGCATATTCTTATCTACACATACAATCGAAAAAACATAAGGAAGAAATAATATTAACAATAATTGATAGGACGTATTCACTAATTGATGTCAAAAATTAACCTCATAAATTTAACGTTAAATAGAGGATCTTTATTTATTCTAAGCAACCACTTTACAATTGTTAAGTTAGTACGTTTGTGTATCAACAAATACTGTTTTTAGCGCAATACTTATCGTACTGTTTTTTCCAAAAATTGAAATAAGTTGTCACTGCCTTTCTCCACTTGGCGAAGCGTGAAAGATACCATTAATTTTTTTTACATTTTGATACATAAAAATGAATTTCAATGAACTATCGTGATATGTACATCGCTAGTCACGAATTAAAAACACATAAAATCGATCAACTAAAAGGATCACACCCAATATAAGAAACTAAAGCACTTTTGCGACTTTCCCAAATTCACAATTAATACAAAAATAGTAAATCCGTCTGTTTTTAACCGAGAAATAAATCACAAGACTGTCGGCGCCACCAAAGATTCCGGTTAAAAAGTAGAGAGACAAGCGTCGAAAATTAAACAACTGTTGAAGATGAGAAACGTTTCAACATTTACCAACAATTAGGAAGCTGCCAAAAAAGTTACAAATCTCAAATCCTACCATAATCTGTGATACTAATACAACGGCTACAGCCACGAATTAACCCAAAGCTGTTCCCCTTATGTTTTTTTTTTAAATCTCATACAGCGACACATGCCCAAACATGTTCGTGCATTGGTGAAACGTAGGTTTCAATCCACGTCGGAGATTGCCTCTTTGCCAAATCACTCGATTTGAGTGTAACAAGCTCTTAATGAGCACCAAAATGTCTCCACTTTTACAATGATTCTGTTCAACGTGGAGGTAAATGACCTAGAAATAATGTAGGTTAGTCGGCACATTTCGAAATACAGACACATACCATTTCCAGTGGTCAGCAAACGGTATAAGCGCGAATCGGATGTGTGATTACTATCGGCTGCGTGATTGAAAATTGCGCCGCCGCTAGATGGCAATGAAATTATATGGTAGTATTGATCATCGTCTCTATTATTGTTCAATGATACTACTTCAGCGAGCAGGTCCTCGTCTGAAACCTAAAGATCCGTAGATTTTTGGTTCTTTGAGCCGTATAGTAATATGTTACCTCACGATGAAAAGCCTGCTGATCGATACCAAGCTGGTCCTCCCTAACATTCTGGTCGTTCAAGCTACCGTCGGCCGGATTTCGACTTTCGAGCAGCTCGGAATGCTTCTTGCGCTGATGCTGCAGCAACTTCGCCTTGCTCGCGTACTGCTTATGACACCACTGACAAGCTTGTGGGTGCGTCGTAATGCTCCCGACCGTCTGCGAGAAGGTCGGGTTCGGCAGACCGGCGACCTCCGGAAATGAACCCTGCCTTCGGTTGCTCATGGGTAACGCCTGACCGGGATGGTTCTTCAATATGTGCGCCTTTCGCTTCGAGCTGCTCTTGTAGATTTTATCGCAGTATTGGCAGTAGTAGTCGCGCGTCGTTCGTAAAATCGGAAGATTAAGTTCTGGAACGGAATCTGGGCTGATGTCCGGATGACGTTTTGCCAGGTGATTGACCAACATGCCTAGCAAATCAAATGGGCTGATTAGAAGTATACACTTGAATTAAGAAAAAATCGACAAAGTCTTGTAAGTAAGGATGGACAGATTAAAGAACGATCTAGATGAACACTTTTAGTGATGACAAAAGGAAAATGTCAGAGACCACTAAGTTATCATCTTTCTCCATTTTCCCTGCATTCTGGTCTAATGAGCGCAACTGTGATTTTCGTAAAAAAAACACGATGACCCTACTATACTGTATTCATTTTAAGAAGATAGTGGTAGAAAGCATAGGCAAAGAGTTGGTATAGGGAAGCTTTGACCTTCACTGTGATTGGTTAAAACACAAGTCAGTATTACAATGAAACATAGAACGACTGGTGAATTTTGTAAGGTGGTAGTTTGTATTGCCAACTAAACTGCCGAAGTGTCATTAGTTGATATTGTCAAAGATTTATTTCTGTTCGCAGTGCTAAATATTTCTACTTTACAATAATTTGGTGCCGTATTATATTTTTCCTGTGTATGTTCATCTTCAAACACAGCGCCATCTACTACCTTCTTATAATGAATGCAGTATAGTGGAAGAGTAATAGCCTGAGCACAAGCTTACTGTCTCTCTTACATTGCATTGACCATAAATACTATTTTGCTATACATTATTAGCACAGTACCTCATTGAATGGTGGCGCTACTGTCGTTCACTTTAAATTTATAAATTTTTATCTATCCGAAAGCTATTCCGAAAGCGGCGACTGAGTGTACTTGTGTAAGTGGGATCTTTTAAAAAACCCTTCAAAAAAATGACACTTTTAAAATCTATTGCTTAACATTACTGTTCTTTTTTGAAATTCTGACATTACTCATTCCACGAACTCTCGTTAGGGTCAAACATGCCCCTTAAAAATCCTTGAAAATCTTCCTCTTCAAAATCATTTCTGGAACTTCCCTCAATACAAATTTTCTGAAAAAAAATGCATAGCTATCTAGAGATATCAAAAAAAATCTATTTTTTGTTTAGGCCTACTGTTATTATTGACTAGCAAAAATATGTAAATGAAAACGTTGTAGATAATTATGGCCTCAATAATACAAATTTTGTATGTCACTTCTAATTTTTCAGTTAATGACAAACTGTAGCTGCCATGACTTTTTTTTTAAAAAGGCTCTTTTTCGGCGATTCTAACAATAAGTCACTTTGACTTATTTTCATAAATATAAACATTTTTTGTTTTTAATGTCGCATTGGATTGTGTAAGTAGTAGGCTACAAAACAATTGATAAATGTGGTATAAAGCAAAGTGAATTGAAGGGAGTTCCATCAATATTAGCAAAAGCTTCTAGAAGGACTTCCTATTGGTTTACAAGGCACACTTTGGTTCCGTTTCAGTTTTTTATTGGGCGACTACATATAGAAAATTAGAGAGAGAAAATTCTAGCTTATCTTTGATCCCAATAGCGTGCCAGTTTTCCGAACCCAAATTTCGGTTGCGCGATTTTAACAGAGATTGTCGCAAACAACAAGTACTGGAGGATATCAATTGGCCGTGCCAATTTTTTTGAATCGCGGGACAATTATAAAACGTCTGTGGGTCTGAAATGTAATAGCGTTTAGTTAAACTCGTATATGAAATTGTTCGATTAGTGGAAAGTAAAAAATGTAACGCAGTTCTCGTGATGTTATCTAAAATTCCATTAAAGACAATCTGCGCGTACGCATATGCAACTGTTATCATTGCAAGTGCTTACCATGAGCCATGATTAAACCATGAAAGTGACCTATATGGCCGGTGAACTCATTTAGAATAAAACTCGTCCATACTTAAGCGATTAAATCGCATTTAAAGTGGCATTTGGCTTTCGAAAAAATTCAAATAATAAGCGGACAAATTAGCGCGTGCAGGGTAGTTCGGAGTTTGGCTTTTTTTATACACCAAGTAATACTCACGAGTTATTTCTTGGAGAGGCAATTTTGTACAAGCGTAAGGCACAAAAGCAAAAACGATCCAGTTTTCAATTTTTCATGGAGGGAGCCTTTTTCGGCACAAAGAAGATTGAAGAGCGGCGGAAGTTGCAAAGGAACTGTGTTCAGTGAAGAAAGCATGAAGGGAGTGACAAATGCAAGCGTGGAAGAAAGCCAGAAAGAAACATCAGGGAAGCATAACTGGGGATAAAACAAGAAGAAGTTAATAAGTGCTACAGACTGAAAAGGAGACGAATAAAGAATGTGGAGTTAGGGAAAGAAATGTACAGAAAGAAAGAGACTAGTACAGACAGCTTAAAGATTCGCAAAAAAGGAAGCGTGAGAAATATTCGGAAGTGGCGCGAAGCAGTTACGTGAAGCTGAGAAGTTTTGAAAGGAGAAAGGGTGAAAAAATCGGTTTCGTTGATGAAACAATAAAAAAGCTAGAGCTAGAGAACGCACGATTTTTGCCCAAAAATGGCGGAAGTTACCAGATTCTAGTAACTTTAATGTTAGGGATTGTTCCACCTGTTTGGAGATATCTGTATATATTTTTATAAAACATGACAGTACTATGAAGTTAGGTTATGAAAAATGACAGCTATTCAGATTTTATTTGTCAATTTTTTAAGTTGGCAGCAAATTTGCCCAAAAATGGCGGATGATTGCGGTACTTTCTATATTTAGTGACTTTAATGTATGCTTGTTTGGTACGCCCTGTACTGGCAAAGCTAGAAACTTGAAAACAATTTCCAGCGATTTTTCTTGTCCTCTTTTGTTAAAATTTTTTCTCCGAAGCTGTGCAATTAAAGATATGGAATGTGACCATTATTAATGGGACACCCTGTACAATTGGGCCTTACCGTTACGGAGATCCCCATCTGCTCACAAAGATCTTCTTAGGGGTCTACCTTGAAAATCTTGTTTTATGGGGAATCAGATTTGAACCTAAGGGCGTGTTTAGACGGCGGCTTGCGCATCATTCCCGCCAGAGAATAGCGCGAAACTGAAGAATGCTGAAGTCACCTTTGAAATTTTTGTTTACATGGGAAATCATATTTAACTTGAACTTCCAAAGGCGACTCAACGTCAATCCTTTTTTGATCGCCCGTTATTTACCAGCGCCTACTTTTATTGACATTGCCTTTTCCCGTGTATCCACAATACAGGATATTTTTTATAAGCTTCTATGGACATGCGCGTTCGAGACTGACAGTTAAAACGCCGCTCGTGGTGCATTTGCCTCACGAGGTGTGATTCGCGCTCAGCAACCGTTTACACTGCGCGAGGATTGATTCGCGAGTATGACTCGTGAGTCAAATTAGCGCCGTCTAAACTTTATGAAAGTTTCTTAAACATCTTCAAAACCATTGAATAATTTTAGAATTCCCCTAAGAGACGTTTCTAAAAGTATTAATAATTCTTTTAGAGGTTTTTCTAGACACCATCTTGAAAAAATATCTCAGTCACCTTTTTTGACAAAACACATACCACAGATTATATTTTCCCATCAAATAAAATTTGAACTTAAAAATGAAGGCAAAAAAAAATAAAAAAATAATTCACAAACTTATATGTTGGGAACCAAAAGGCCTTAAAAGGCACTAATAAAATAATACACAAAATATAGAAGATTTATCCAGTGAGCGAATTTTTTTATACCTTTGTGAGTTTTTGGTTCGAATCCAAGTCTGGGATGTGGGTTGGGTTGGCTGAAACCCTGTCCACTTAAAAATAAAGACAAAAAAAAATAAGACCATTAGAAAAACTAAGTGATTCCCTGAGGAGAATGAACAAATTTGATGAATAGCCAGACCTAAAACGGATAGAGTGGAGTACTGTATTGGTTCAAAAATCCACTCAAAAATTTCCAAAAATGAGATGCTTTTGGAAAAACTCCAAGATGGAGACTGGACCATTGGCTTCAATTTCACTTCAAAGACAAGCATAAATTCTCTTCCGAAATTATTTTTTTTTGGGATGATGATTGAGGGATAAGGCTTTGGGTACTTGAGAATACATTACCTCTCCGTTTGAATCCGACGAGACAAGCGTGGCACTTGTAAATAAATCGATGATAGTCGGTCGGTTGCACTTTGGGCGTAAACCTCTTGCTATTCTGTATCGCAAGTTTCGAGGCCTTCGGAACCGTGTTCTCGCGTTCCTCCGAATGCATTCGCTTGGTGTGCTCCTTCAGTTTATCCTTGCGCTTAAACTGCTTACCGCAATCGGCACAGAGAAACTCTCGATGGTCGGAATGGCGCAGCAGGTGCATGCGTAGCTTGTCGAGCGTCGGAAACGGCTTATTGCATTGCGGACAGTTGTGCTTGCGTTCACAGTGAAACGCGCGAATGTGCTTTCTGATGATGCTGTACTCCTTGAAAATTTTCTTGCAGTGTGGGCAGGTGTACTTGCCGTCGATGCAGTGCAATGGAACGTGCACTTTTAGTTGTAGGACGTGTTGAAAACTTTCGTTGCACATCGGACACTCGAACATTCGCTTACCTACACTGTGCGTCTTCAAGTGGCAGGCGAGGGCGGAGTTGTTCAAAAATCTCTTATTGCAGGTGTCACATTTTAAAGGCTTCGACTCCTCCGATCCGTGTACCAACATGTGGCGCTACAACACCAGTTAAAACGGAAAACACTCCAAACGGCTTACCTGAATTCGCTCCTGTGATGCAAACACTTTATAACAGACGGGACATTTACAGCCATTCTTGCTGGTCGGCGACTTCTCCACCGATTCACAGCTGTGCTTATTAAGTTCTTCTTTACTTGGAAATTCCTTATTACATTCAACACAGATCGATCGATTGTTATCGGAGTTGATGCGATGCTGCAAACTGTAAGCTTTCAGTAGGGAAAAGGATTCGCAGAACGTATCGCACTTTAAACAGTGACAACTGAAAGCAACTGTTAAAATGGAGCGAATCCGACAAACGCACTTACTTGACAACTGTAAACTTTTCCTCAAAATCGAAACGAGATTCCAACCCGTGCGTCAACAAATGCTTTTTTAGTACCACAAATTTAGGATTCATAAAAACCTCCTTGCAAGAGTTGCACTGGAGCACCTGCTTATGGAATTTCTTCTTAAATTTTTTGCGCTTGCTTTTGAATATTTTCTTCTTCGCCTTCGGGGCCAAATCCCTTTTAACCTCGTCGTGCTTGTCCAGATGCGCCTGCAATTCTATCGACGACGCAAACTGCTTGTCGCATTCAAAGCAAGGCCAGTCGTTTTCTTTCCAGGCGATCGGTTGCAGAAGTGGAAGGGAGTGTTTTTTTGCGTACTCCGAACTGTACCCCACCTAAACATACCATTTTTACACTCAGTTTAGTTTGTGTAGACAAATTAATTTGAACCACAACATGAATTTAGTGGCGCCCGTCACTATTTACTTTTATTTGAAAATAAACCGATAGAAGGAAATATCAAAGGATCCTAAGTATTACAATCACTTAACGATAATTTATTTTAATCTTACAAAATACATCAAATTCATGTCTTGGGCATTGAGATAATGCTTTTGGTCTTTTTCCCAACTTTCTTGGTGCATAAATAACGATTTTGACATGTTTTGATAAAAATTCATGTGGTCGCCAAAAATAGATCAAATTCATGTTGTTATCATTGAGATAATGCTCTTGGTCTTTTTCTCAACGATCTTGGTGCATAAAGAACGATTTTGACTTATTTTGATCAAAATCCATGTGACCTCGGAAAAATAATTTAACATCTTTGAATCACACACATGCGGTTATCAAATGTGCACGTGATCTACTCTTTCAGCATCAAGATAATGAAAGCTTTTACAACGTCAAATTCATGTGTAAAGAATACTTTTGGGTACATTTTGCTCTAAAACTTTCAACCTATACCACAGAGAAGAGTTATATTGAATTGTTACACACCTAAGAGTCATAGGGAAAGTCTGAACTCGATACATGATCTAGGGAATGAAATATGGTGATTTCTATTATATTGAACCCGCAGTTTTTCCTGTTCTCGATTCACTCGAAGTCCAATAACTTTTGTTCATGTTGAACCAGCTTCCTGAAAATCAATAGCGTCCGTCCTTAATGTTCAAAGTACCCGTACACCAAATTTCAACACAAGCGGTCACTTTTAAAAAGAGAGAGCGCACACGGACGGACGACAATACAAAACTATAAAGGACCTCAGGATCCTTAATAATTCAGAGCTTGTGGGATCAATTTTTCCAAAAAATTACCAATACAGCTAACTCTGGGGAGTCGACTTGGGGCGGGCAACGAGGGCCGACGTGCTTTTTAAGTAAAGAACTCGTAACTTTGAAACGCGAGGCGGGTCCAGGCATAATTCAAACTTATATTCGAAGCTCAAGCGGAAGTTGTCTTTATCAAGACACAAATAACGCGTGGGGAGCTAATTAAAATGTGAGGAGGTCAAGATAGTGTAGGAATCTCCAATCAAGAGGACAACAGGGGCGTGAAGATAAGTACTAGAATTTATTTTATTTAGATACTTGATACCTAGAATTGAGGCTAAAATTAAATTGAAGGGGAAAAAATAGAATAGAGGGGTGCAAGTCACTGGAGTAATTAACCAGGCTCGTACGCCCCCGCAACTATACCTTTGAATATAAAATTGGGAAGAAATCTAAGCCTGTACTTTCGCGTGGGTCTCTAAAAGTACCTTTGGATTTATATGCGCGCTTTCCGAAGGCAGTCACTACTCTTCCTTCTTACGGAGCGTTTTGTGTGGAGGACAAAGACAAACTGAACTATCCCACTTACACTCATTATTTGTTGCCCTACTCTTATGGTCTTATGTTGATAATAGGCGCGCGTACATAATTGAAAACGCTGCAAATACCAATTTAGACACAGAAAATTTCATAGAACAAAAATTGTAGACAATTAAATTTACTATAAAAAAGTCCACGGCGGCATATATCTATCTTTAATCGTTTAGCCTTACCAACCATTTAAAGTTGTATCTAGTGTCCTCGTTGGTTTCAATAATATCTTTGAACGCTTAACATATATTAATGGTTAAAGATACATATACAGGGTGTTTTTTAGGGAGCTTTAGTTAAACGTTTCTGGCAAAGTAAAATAGGTAGGTTTTTAAAAACTTGTATTTACAAGTTACTCTGAAGTCCGACTCGATATAAAATATTTTCAAAATAGCCGCACTTACCGGAAGTGGCTAGTAACTTCGTTATTTTAAATGGCAACCCATATTTTTTATTGCATTTTTGGATTCTACCTGAAATTTCAGTTCTTCTAATATTCACATGTTGATATCTGCCATTTATGGTTTTTAAGTTATTTTGACTTTAAGAGAAAAAAATGGCGGATGCAGATGGTACTTTGATAATCGATTACTTGAAACCCTTTTTTATCAGTGCATAGAGAATGAATATGGCTTTCTTTTAGTTACTTAATAAAAAGTTAAGTTGCGGACAACCGCACCTATGAATATCCAAAGTTATAAAACTTCAAAGACTAAAAACTCAGTTTTTTTTAATGGAATGATCATTTTCTTACTATTGCATGAGATAAGGAATCGAAATGGGCATATTTTGACAATACAAATTCCTATAGCTATCTTTAACAGTTTCTGACTTATTCCCATTTTATTGAATTGACACTGTTTTTTTCGGATTTTCTTTTTAGTAGTCAGCCATGATTTTATAACAATCGAACTTTAAACAAATCTAGTGACACTAATTCGCCTCCTGTTATAAGTTAACATAAGTTTTTCAAAAATCGAAAAATGGCTTGCAGTGGTTTCACCTATTTTGGAATTTAATTGTTATTTATGGTGAAATGGTCTGTCCATCGCCGTACGTTTATTCGGACACTGGAACGAAATTGTATGAATTTTGGAAATTTTGTACCAACATAAGTGATATTGGTATCAGTGACTTTCTAGTTTATTACTAAAATTTGTACCTGTCAAAAATTTAAATAACTTAACACCTGTTGGCCGCATGGATTAAATGTCGTAATTTTTGCCTTTTGGCTTGTTTCGTGTTTTTGAATACGTAATCTGTCAACATCCTAGCTTGCTACCTTTATACCTATTGGAGTAGTACTTCCCCCATCTTAACCACCCAATAATAGTTACCAGCACCTAGTGCTGAAAGGGATATTCATTCTCTATGCACTGATAAAAAAGGGTTGCCATGACTACAACCGGTTTCAAGTAATCAATGATCAAAGTACCATCTGCATCCGCCATTTTTTTTCTTAAAGACCTTAAAGTCAAAATAACCTAAAAACCATAAATGGCAGATATCAACAAGTGGATATCAAAAGAACTGAAATTTTACGTAGAATCCAAAAATGCAATAAAAAATAGGGGTTGCCATTTAAAATATCGAAGTTACTATCTACTTCCAGAAGTGCAGCCATTTTGAAAATATTTTACATCGATTCGGCCTTCGGAGTAATTCCTAAGTACAAATTTTTAAAAACCTACCTATTTATTTTCCCAGAAACGTTTAACTAAAGTTCCCAAAAAAAAAAGTCAAAATAACCTAAAAACCATAAATGGCAGATATCAACAAGTGGATATCAAAAGAACTGAAATTTTACGTAGAATCCAAAAATGCAATAAAAAATAGGGGTTGCCATTTAAAATATCGAAGTTACTATCTACTTCCAGAAGTGCAGCCATTTTGAAAATATTTTACATCGATTCGGCCTTCGGAGTAATTCCTAAGTACAAATTTTTAAAAACCTACCTATTTATTTTCCCAGAAACGTTTAACTAAAGTTCCCAAAAAAAAACACCCTGTATGCTGTCGCGGACTTTTTTGTAGGAAATTAAATTCTCTACAACCTATAATTTATTCTGTACGAAGTTTCGTTTTTACAGCGTTTGAAAGTAATGTGGGTACCTTTCGTTTTGTAACTGAATCTAAAATTCAAAGGTTGCGAGCAATTTTATGGTACTCTTCAATGTTTTCCTACCATTATTTTATTTTCCTATTCGATTGGGGTTTGTGCGCTATTCAATTTTTATAAGGGATGTCCTGTGCCTAAACTTTTTAGATTATTTAATATTTTTTACAAAACAATAATGAATTACATGTTTATAAACAGGATCGAGTAAAAATATTGAATAACCTAAAAACTATGGGGTTTAGGCACAGGATACCCCTTCTAAGAATTGAAGACCACACAACAGAACATCGAATAAAGAAACAAAATAGCACTTTTAAATCTAGAAATTTAACAATTTTTTTGTAAACACCCTGTATGATTAAATTCAACTTTCTCATTACCAAGGTGTTGCCTTTTATTCAGATTAAAATTATAGATCAAACGTATTTCTTAACTTTATAATCAAGGTCGCTACGATTTATCAAAGTGGCGCTGGTTTCTAGAGAATTATTTGGAAAAAAATTAATAATTTGGCTTGTAGAGGTTAAAAAATGACATCGCATTAGTTAAAAATAGACAGGCTGTTCCATTTAAAAAAATCAGCTGTGTATTGACACCAAAAACATGAGACACTCTGTACATTCAAAAATAATTTCTGTAGATGCACAACCTTCTATAGTTGACATTTATTTGCACATAAGATTTTTTGATATTTTTTACCAGGTATGAGCTAGGAAAGACCGACGCAGTGTTATTAGTACCCTGTATTGTTACATTACATTTTTAAATGTTATTGTTTTTTTATGGAAAGATATAAAAAAAGTAATCCCGAAAATTAACAATCTGTTACCAAGCAAATTTCTTCCGATCTTTTATATTATCCGTAGTTGGCCATTTCTTTTGATAACAAAACAATACGGCAACTGATTACCAGATCACCGTAGGCATCATAGTCATTGATTAATTAAAAACACAAATTTAAAAAACCATGGTTTGTCTTTTAAAGTGGGTGACTCCCAGAGCGTCCTCAATTCTTTCCATTATTGGAACCCTAAACCCACCATTTCCAACAATTCTCCCGATGATTTTTGCGAATTGACGGACTGTCAAATTTTTTTCAAAATCCGAAGAATTTTGCTAGTTAACAAATGGAATAATTTCCGAAATATAACAAGAAATGTAGCTCCATAATAGGCGAACAGAAAGCTCTCGGAAGGACGTACATTAAAAAAATAGGTCAAAATCCGTCCGTCAATTTGCAAAAATCATTAGGACAATTTTTGGGTTGTACAAAAATTTAAAACGCTATGGGAGTTACCCAATTTGTTTGTTTATTTAATCAATGGCTATGATACCTACAGTGTCGTATTGTTTTGTTATCAAAAGAAGTGACCAAATACGGATTTTCAAAAAGATCGGATGAATTTTACTCAGTAATAACAGATTGTTGATTTTCGGGAATGCTTTTTTATATTTCTCCATAAAAAACAATAACAATTAAAAATGAACGTTCCATACTAAATGTATCTCACAGAAAATTCGATTCTAAACAAATTCACTCTTCTCAGATAAGTATTAGGTAGATACTTACCTGAAAAATTACCTCACCGGCAAAAAATGGAAAACTTCATAAAAAATATCACTTCTCTTCATTTTTTGCCTCAGGCCAATAGTTAACGAGAAAATTATTCTTCATTTTTTGAATATTAACATTGTTAACAATATGTTCCGGAAGTTTCCGCCCAGGGGGACTATGAGTTTCGGATTCAGCGGATGCTTTTACATAGGGTTTTGCTGAGTGAAATGACATCCAGCCCAAACCATACTTTTGCTGAATTATAGTGCTTTGCTTCGCGCCCTTCTGATAGGGTATTATTACTATGGGTAAAAATAAATGTGTAATAGCAAAGGAGCTCTTAGGTATGGCTATATATGTGCATATCAAAATTTTGAACCTGGTGTTAGATTTGCTTTTATTCCAAGTGAATATGTATAAAATTTCATTAAAATGCCTTCATCTTTATAATAGTACGCATTTATGGAAGAACACCATAGATATTTTTTATATGTCCCTAAGACAGTTTGCAAGATCATGTGACAATATCCAAGGACTGTAAAAAATTGTTCACAGCATTTTTTTTCTTTTTTATTTCTTTTGTTTTTTTATAATTTAATACTCTTAACATATATTTTTTTATATTCTTTGTTTTAGAATAGTTTTTTTTTATTAACAATACGTGAGCATTGTTATTGGGGCAACCTGTTATGTTTATAAATAAATAAATAAGAAAGTTGGCACTGCGCATGCGCAAAACTAAATTTTCAAAAAGACGTTACATTTGCTTTTATTCCAAGTGCATATGTATCAAATATCATTTAAATACATTTATAAATAAAAAGTTTGCAATTTCCCATTTACTTAGGCTTCTTCCTAATTTTATATTCAAAGACTATACCTACCTCGAGGTACTATCTATAACATTGAATTGAAAATGTTTAGTGGTTCTTTAAAAGCGGAGAAATTTTGTAAATTGTAACTTTTGGCTCTTCTATTTCAATAGGTTGCCAACCCTTGAGCTAAGAAGATAAACTCTTTTTTAAAATTGCCTTTGCCTTACATTCCATTTACAATTGTATATGGGTACCACTAATTTCATGAATTGCAACCTTGCACACGAAGAAACCGACTAACTTACCAACAGTTCCTGTTTCGGCAATATATTCGTCACAGTATTATAAAACAGAGAACTACCCCGTTGAACGACGACTACATTCTGTTCCATGTAAGTTTCGGCTCGTCTCACGTAACACATCCAATTAGCAACACCTGTTGAAAAAAACATGCAGCAGCGAATCGACTAAGCTTTGCAAACTCACGATCGTCCGAAACATCCAAACGATGGACCGTTCCATTGTCAGACTCCACCAGCAAGTGAAAACCCTCGCTATCGGGCTGACAGTCGTTAACCACCACAAGCCCCTCGAGCGGACCGAACTGTGTCTGCTTCGGGATCAACTTCTGGGCGAACACGCCGTATCCCCCCTTATCGTTTTTAATGATTGCCAAGTAATGGGCCGGCAGTGTTGCTTTCGCACGCGACTCCACAGGTTTGTCGCTTATTGTACGAATTTTGTTCACTGAAATGGCACAGGTGAAAACGACACGACGTATGTGAAGTTAGCATATCATTATTATCAAAAACTGACACTCAACATCTCATTTTTTGTTTGATAGTTGTAAATGCACTCGCAATAATTGAATTTTTGAAAAAAGCTAGCGAAAAGTACCCTAAAAAATCACAGCAAAGGACTCAAAATTCACATCTGATTTTTTAATCAATTTCTTTGTGCTCAAATTAGTTCTAGAGTTCCACACGGAACATACACAATTTTTTAATATTTTTTTATTTTTTCCAATTTTCACATTTTATTCTGAATTTGAGAAACTTGTGTACACTTAATTTTATAGCCACATTTTTACGTAGAATTGTTGGGATTATGACTCAAGTAAGAAAAGTTTACGTAACCGTTTTTATTTTTTCATTTTAATTTTTTATTACAGAATTTCTTTCCTGTTTCCTAAGTTTTTCGAATTTTTCTAAAATTCTATTTGTGAATTCTTCAGTAGGATTCTGAGTGGTTTTTTTAACGCTATACAAATTTTATATTCTTCTTTACACGCTTGCCCTTGAAATTTAGACAGCTATCAAAATTAATTTTCCAAATTTTTCAATTTTTTTTAATTTCTAAAGATCGGTAGATTTGTGAATAATTTATTTTAAAGTTTTGTATATACCTCTGCTTGTTTACTTTGCAAGTAATTTTTTAATTTTTCTGTATTTTCCCTAATTGCTCCATATTTCAATATTCTGGATTTTTAAATTTTTAATTTGGATCTTACCAATATTTTCATATTTTTTTATCTTTCCAATTTTTTAAATTTTTATGAATTTTATGAATGGATATTTAATCATATTCAATTTTTTTCGGATGTGTCCAATTTTTCGATTGTTTAATTTGTATTGAATTTTTGTTAATCTTTTCTTTCTTCTTTTTAAACTTAAGCATGAAATTTAAACTATTAGTAGTATTTCACAAATGTTCTTAATTTCTGATTTGTAACATATTTTTTTTAATTTGTTGTACACAATTTATAGTTGTTTTCCTCTCGGGAAGAACAATGTCAAATTTTTGTGCTACATCTCCTGGGTATTTTTAAATTTGGCAAATTTTAGAATTATTTCAAATTAACGCACAAGCTCAAGAAAAATTATCAATTCCATAATAACAATTTAAAATAAATGAGACCATCCAACATGGCAGGAGGTGCGGATGAGAGTACAACCGCTCCTACAGTGTGTGCTGTTTGCAACAAAAATACACTATCACGAAAATTGTGCGGAAACCAAATTAAAATGGAGCACTAAAGAATACACACATTTCTCAGTATATTACAAACAGAAACACCTCCTCACGTACCATGTGTCCCATTTTGGTTGAGACGCAGTATATCTCAGCTGTTTTTAAAGATAGACTTGCGGTTTTCGCGACCCTGTGCAAACTTTTAATATCACACACAGAATCACTCTACCTACGTTTGTTTTGGAGATACAGAGTGAAAACGAAAAGTTTGACTTTTTGGGATGTTATTATATGTTACTACTCAGATGTAAAATAGAAAAAAGGTAAAAACTGTTTATTTTAGATATATTTACGCAGAAACCAGTGGCGTAGTTAAAAAAAATGTTTGGACCACAGTGTCTCGACACAATGTATTTATTAAGTGCAACACCCTATACTGATTGTATCAAATTTCGTGTTAAGTACAGAGATCTCACTTATTAGTTATTAGCATAGATAGAGAGTACGTTAAGTGGACAAAAATGATCCTCGAGTTATGCCAAATAATAGTTACTTTATTATACAAGAAGGGAAAATATCCCTTTATCGTCGTGTATAATACAAAACTTTATTTTATAGCAGAAGCTATATAAATCATTGAAAAGCTTCTGACAATTCTGAATTTAATTTAGAGACGTCAAAAATAGCATAGGTTCTGCCGTCGTGATCATTTCTATAGAAACAGAATTGTCATATGTTCTGGACGTCAGTTTATATCGTGCATTTGAAATAAGAATGACAGATGTCTTTAGAATGCACACTCATCTGTTTCACTTTATCTACCCTAACGGTTAAAGTGATCACTTTATGTATCCTTCCGGTTAAAGAACGGCTTAGCCTACTCATTCAAACCTATTAAAATATCATTTTAACATGTACTATAAAATAAAATAAAAAAACATTATTTAGCCCACGTTTAAAAAATATTGCGAAAAATAACATCATTGACGTTTTTGGCTTTAAGATCATTATTTGAGGAGGTATTTAAAAACCAAACAACCTTTCTTTAGGGAACTTTTTCTGTTGTTTTAGAATTTAGATGATGGAAATGAATTTTCGTTAACATTAATACTTTTGATACCAACTTTTGTTTTTCATATGGGAGCCATTTTAAAGTTTTAGGTCATCACATGTTTATAAAAAAAACAAAAGAAGTTCAAAATTAAAAAAAAACCCCCATTTCAGGTGACATTTTAGTCTATATGAACATTTATTATAGTTAAATTCGGGTTTTTAATAAAGAAATTCGATTGTTTATGCATATTGCCTGATTTCAAAAATGTATATCATGCTCATAAAAAAATTTAAAAAAAAACAAATTTTAGAAACAAATTTCGAGTAAGTAATTATAGCAAAATGTATGAAAAATCGAATTTCTTTAATAAAAACCTGAATGTAACTGTAGTAATGTTCAAATTGACTATGATGTGACTAAAAACTTGTGTTATTAAAGGTTTAAAAAAAAGTGGCACAGGGTGGTGAAAACCGCAAGTCTCAATCATTAAAAACAGCTGAGATACACTGCAGTCTCAACCAAAACAGGACACACAGTACATGGACATTGTTCTCTTGGTAACGAGAGAACTTTTATAATATTTCTCTAATGAATACATTCTGGATTATATTCTCCTAGTTGCCAGAAAAAATGTACATTTTTTAAAAGTTGCTCAGTGAATTAAGCGTAGAAACGCCCCCTCGTACATTATACTCCTGATACGAAAGTCTAAACTAAAAATCTCTGAGCAATTTTGTGGAGCACAGAAACAGATGTCCTCATGGATCATGTTCTCCTGGTAGCCAGAAAAATGGATAACATTTGGAAACACCTCCTAACACATTATATTCTCCTAATACATAAGATTAAACAAAAGTAAAGTCTTGAAGCAGTTTTGTTGGGTATAGAAAATGACCTTTTTATGTCTTATGTTCTCCATGGATCCAGAGAAAGTTAATACCATTTTCTTTGCATTAATTAACAAACAAAAAATAAAAATAAATTTTCCAAGGAAATATTTTACAAAGCGTGCATGGCGCAGACAAATTAACTAATTTTTTTGATAATTTTTTTATTAATCATTATTCTTCAAATTCTCATACTTAATAATTATCTTAAACATTTTGGCGGAGGAGGAAATTGACTAGCAAACTCTCTAGAGCAATTGATAGCGCATTTTTCGCAAACTCTGACTGAAACCTCCAAAGGACTCTTTTTCAAAAAATTTTTGATTCTGAAATGTTTTTAGAAACCATTTTGAAAATGGTTCCACTTGAAACATTTACAGGAATTTTATTATAAATTTTTTTGAAACTACGGTATCCTCCTTGAAAGATTTTTTGGGTTTCAGAAATGTTACAAATCTCTTCAGAAACTTTTTTTGACATCCGCCTACTTCATAACAATGCGAAATAATTAACTTTACTACAATTCTTTGTTCAATCTTGTGCTATTTTAAATCATTGTGGGCAAATAAAACTATTAAGAAATTCTCCAATTTTCGATAATAATGCCAACGTCACACCCATACAATTTACTTACATAAGATACCCTCTTCCTTCTCGTTCAACTTCAGATCGTGCTGCCTAAGCGATCTCCGCAGATTCTCATTCTCCTTCTCCTCGAAGTCCTCAGTTTTAATTTCTAAATCGGTCAAGTTCTGCTGTATCACCGAGTTGGAGATGAGTTCAGCCGCCTCGACGATATCGGGCAGTTGTGACTTTAAAGTGGAGACGTCCAATGTTAAAAGGTCGGGATCCAGTAGGGGATCGGGGGCTAGAGCATCTAATAGGTGTTGCTCGTCGGCCAAGCATCGTTCGACTAAGTACTCCTGAGTGCTGACGTTATACGATATGCCGGTTGTTTGGTCGGTAATTAACAGTTCCACTTCTTGTTCGGGATTCCGATCGGACACCAACTGCAGAACACCCGGATTCGGAGGATTCGTTGTGGGCTCTTGGTTTAATAGATATCTATTGCTGACAACTTCTTTCAGAAGGTTCGTTTCCGAATTCGTTAGGTTCGGTATGTGTTCTAGTGGTGCGTTTGGTTCGACTAGCTGATTGATGAACGAATCACGACTCGCATTGAGTAATGGTTGGTTGGTATTGGAGGTGATTAGTTGTGGTACAACAACAGAGTTGTTATACGCAATGTCGGGATCGTTCGCCGATGGACTGTAACACGCTGCCGAGCTCATATTGGGATCCAACGGACTTACATGATCTTGGAAGTCGGTAATTGTCGTTGTCGTTCGGGTTGCGAAGTCCTCTGTGGAAATCTTATATTCATCCGTATCCTTAACGTATTCCACCTACAGACAGAGAGTGAAAATCGGAAGTTTAACAATTGTCCCTTTGTACTTACAGCGATAAACAAATAGGTTTGATTTCTGTTCGTCCCATTTGGTGTCGATGTCCAAGGGTTTGTGTTGAAATTAGCGATACTTAGGGTGTTATTGCATTCCGCAGGGCTCTCAAGGGTACTTTCCATTTTTCTTTAATTTTGCAGGTCTATGTATATCATATACAAGTACGAACGCGCTGTGAAAATGCTAACGATATTAGCGGTGGAAAAGTTGAGTAAATAGGTAAAAGAGGTTTATTTTTAAATTGATTTAACGAGTGAAAAGATCTAATTTGTAAACAATAAATTAAAGTTTAGAACCCACCTTTATTACGGATGCCATTTTGTTTAGTACTGTCGTGACGTACTACCGCGCAAATGCGCATGCCCGATGTTAAATGTGGGAAATTCCAATTATGATTACGTCTTTAATACGGCCTATAATTTATTGTTCAAAAGATACAGTACTACCTTTGTTTATAAACGGTACTACAGTACTAAAAAGTATTACTTTGGGAAATTTATATTTGAACCCCAACGATGATTAGATAATAAACTCCTAAAAACTAGGCCGCCCACCACATCGCTATGCATACATTGGATGTGGATAGGTATGCGGCGCTGGAAGACAGTGGAACTGGTTACACTTGTACCATTGTACTATGCGATCAAAAATGAGTTGCTGTCGAGTCACCTTTGAAATTTTAATTACATGGGAAATCGAATTTAACTTGAACTGCCAAAGGCGACTCGACAGAAATTCATTTTTGATCGTCCGTTATACTAATAAATATACAATGCTTATACATACCTCATCAACCGACTTCGCTTTACGCTTATTCGGCAATTCTACATCTGAACATGACAAGCAAGGAAATACAAATTGACTATTTGTGCTATACCTCTTAGATCCCTGTCGAATAAGTTGGACATAATTTAAAAAAAAATAAAATAATCGGTCATGTCCTATAACCTTGCTTCCAGATATTTCCACACTGTTAGAAAAACTATTACTTCGCAGAATTAATGAGGACATTGAGCCCCAACATTGGATTCCGGAATATCAGTTTGGGTTTCGTCGCGCTCACTCCACGGTACAGCAGGTCCATCGAATGGCACAAGTTATAAACAATGAACTTGAAAATAGTAATACTGTTCAGCGGTCTTTCGCATTTGACAAAGTATGGCATCCTGGATTACTATATAAAATCAAACAAACACTCCCTACAGCCTATTTAAATATATTAAAACTATACCTGAGCGAGAGAACATTCCAAACCAAAGTAAGTAAAGAAACATCAGACCATCTTCGCCATTAATTCTGGAGTGCCCCAAGGTAGTGTTTTAGGGCCTTTGCTCTACATTCTGACCTGCCAATGACACAAAATACAACAGGAACATTTGCAGACGACACTGCAATTCTATCCAGTGGCAAAAAACCCTCAAATAGCATCAGACTCACTTGTTTGAACTACAACAATGGCTAAATAAATGGAAAATTAAAGTGAATGAGAACAAATCGGTACATGTAACATTTGCCCTCCATAAACAATTATTATGTCCAGCAGCAGTGATAAATAATGTGCAGATACCACAGATGGAAACGGCAAAATACTTAGGACACGTGCCGCAATGTATTCCGTGACCACAACATACTGACCGTGTTTTCAATATATTTACACAACTGCCTTATTTACACGCATCAAAACAAATCACACTATGATCTGCACAGTGATATTCACAATCGTGATACGAGGACCAAAAATAAAATTTATCTGCCCAAACCGAAACACCCTTTTTTTAAAAAATCTCCGACATACCGCAGTATATTTTACTATAACTTATTACCCCAAACAATAAAAAATAGCCGATCACTGAAGCAGTTCAAAACCAAAATACGACGTTTCCTAGCGGCCAATGTTATTTATAATGAGGGCGAGTACCTAACTGTATGTGAAAATGTTATTGTCTATTAAATGTTTGTTGGAATACAATTGTACATCGTTTTTTACAAAAATAAAAATGAAATGAGATTACATCTAGATAACAAGCTGACCTGGAAGGAGCATATAAAAAAAAAGAAACAAATAGACATCAAAGCAAGAGAACTAAATTGGTTAATAGGAAGGAAATGTACACCTTCAACAGAAAATAAAATTCTAATATACAAATACAAGGCAGTCATCCGACCTATCTGGACATATGGAGTAGAGCTATATGGGGCTGTGCTTCTAAAACAAATGTACTAGAAACCAATCAAAAATAATCCGGCAAATTGTAGATGGTCTGTGGTATATAACAAATCATACAGATCTACATACAGGGTGGCAATTTGAAAACTTACCCCCCCCCTCCCCCCAATGTCTTATACTGCATTCATTATAAGAAGGTAGTAGATGGCGCTGTGTTTGAAGATAAACACACAGGAAAAATATAAAACGGCCCCAAATTATTGTAAAGTAGAAATATCCAGCACTGCAAACAGAAATAAATCTTTGACATGAACAGCTAGGTAATGACATTTCAACAGTTTAGTTAGCAACATAAACTACCAGCTTGCAAAATTCGCTACTGGTTTTATGTTTCAGTGTAATACTGACTCGTGTTTTAACCGATCACACTGAAAGTCAAAGTTTCCCTATGCTTTCTACTGCTACCTTCTTAAAATGATGATTTGCGCGATAATTACTAACCTAAATGTAATGCTATTTGGTATGGTTGGAAAGCATTTTTTCAGAGCTTTCCAACGACCTATCACACATGGGGGGTCACTATTTAAGATTTAACAGTTTGGGGTGGCTGTGGTGCAGGGGGTTGGAGGGGGTTCGTCGTCAACTATGTCATTGTGATTCCCTCTCCGAATTACCGAAACGGATTTTGATTTTTTTAAATATCTTGTTTATTTACGAAGACATGGGGGGTGTGGTAAGTTTTTAAATTGCCACCCTGTATACCAATGGTTCAGGAAGTAATCCAGGAGAGAGCTATCAAACACCATGAAGCCCTAGAAATCTACACAAACCCCTTATTGGAACATTTACTGCAACCAAGGATCAATAAGACTTAAAAAATTGTGGCCTATAAACTTAGTGCGGGAGTGGCGAGTCCTCAAACTTCATTTGACAAAAACAATTTATAAAACTTAGTATTAAGTTACATAGGTTTCATCGATGGATGCTAATGTTATCATACTATTTATCTGCTAGTACACCTAGCGGCCGGTAACCCTTTAGCTAGAATACATATATTGTTCTATTGCTAAATAAACAGAAAAAATTTCCTTGAATGACTCATATATCATCTAAAGTATACGAGATACAAAAAAAACTTGTTGGTTGCATAATTGCACTAGTCACATTTAAAATTACCGTGATAAAATGTGACATTTAAACTATCTTGCCCTTTAAGATGCAATTAGATTGATTGCAAATGAAAAATTTGCAACTGGTGAACATTAAATATTAACTAATTTTGGCCATTGTAAATAAATAAAATGGTGTTTTTTCCCACCTGTATTAATTACAATTTGCTGCCACCAGAGGTCTCACTGCTAATCTGAATCGCGAATAACACAACATAGGAGCTTAGTCATACCTTACTGCTTATACACACCACCTGTATAATCAATGGTCGTACCATCTAATCAGAGCCGACTGCTACCAAGATTCAAAAGTGCCGAAAAACGTCAATCGTTAGTTAGCTCGTAGTTTTTCCACAGAGTTGCCAAATGTAAGTCTCTGAGTGTCACATTAATAGTGTTTAAGAGAGTTGCCTGAAGAGCTTTCATGAGTTCCAAATGTTTTATGGCTCCGAGTCGGAAATAGTCCCCAAAAGCTTCCAAGAGAAAAGCAATAAACACTTTAACGCACTTTCCATTTAAAAGCCACAAAAGTTCATCTCCAAGAGCCCCTTAGAGCTTTTAGACATGAGCGTCTATTAGCCTTAAGAACGTTCACACTTGTTCTACATTATTCTCGATGGTATTCAGGACCTTTAAGGTTATTCAAGAGCCTTCAAAAGGGCTTTCCACAGCCTTCTAGAGATTTTTAGTAACCAAAAGAGTTCAAGTAGAGCTTTCAGTAAACAACAACAGTAATGCTCATGGATCTTCTCCCGAATCTCCAAGATCACAAAAGATACATTTGAAAAACTATTAATCGTACGATCTTTTGCTAGTGAATAAAATGCAGTCTTGAATTAAATAAAAGCAGGATTAATAAAAGTGTTAAGTAACCATGGTAACATACTTTGGTTTGTTAGACAGATTTCCGACTTATTGATCAAACATGAGTAACTTTATTAGATTTCAATCGCGCATTTGGCAGAAAGCTATGATTACAGACGTATTTTTTAGAAGTGAACTTTCAAGTAACTCAGAATGTAACACAAGCCATGAAAGTATGGAATACATTCGACAAAGTTTACTCCCAGCATGCTTTGTCGCTTGGCGCCTTTACAGTCAAAGGAAGAAAAATGGCAATGAAAAACTTAACAACTTTATCAATCTTTTAAAAAAGTATCAGAATCAGCAACATCCCCCAAAAGTTATGAAGAAGAATGAACCGAGAAACGAATTTCGCAACCGATTTAAGGCACAAGAAGAAATCATCAAAGTGCAAAAAGTCAAGCTGATCCACCAGGAAAAGATGATCGAACAACTAAAGCTGGGCAATCTTTGTGACGCAATTAACGAGTCAGTTAAGAAGACCAACACCGACATTAGGGAGATTTTCGGGAATTGTTCGACGAAACTGAAATGTAAGCTGAAATCTTCGCTTCTCTTGGACGAAGGTTTACATTTCGCCATAAATTCAAATAAAGCGCCTAAAATTATAAGGGAGATAGAGCAGAGGGCGCTCGAACGCGAACGTAAGCGGCGACTAATACGTGAAAAAAAACGAGTGATAGACGAGACCAAGAGGCGGGCGATCGAGGAAGACTTGGCGCAGAAGAGAACGCAAGACGAAGAGGAGAGACAGCGGAGCATGGAAGCAATGCGGAAACGTAGAAAGGCGCAGTTAGAGTTTCATCGTGTCGTTAAGGCAAAGCGCGAGAAGTATATGAAAGATTGTGTCAGAGCAGATTTGTTTTACCGAAGTTTGCTGAAGAAAGTCACACTACGTACTTTAAAAAACTTGCTGGTTACTAAACGAGACAATATGTTCATGAGCGGGCAGTTCTACGAAGACACACTAAGGCGGAATGCGATGAAGTGTTGGAGAAAATTCGTTGAAGCTATCAACTGCAAGAAGAACGAAAAGGCCGCGAACTTGTATAATTTCAAAGCGAAAACTGCAGCGTTCCGTTCGTGGCTCCAGGTATGTGTACGCTGCCCTTGAAAACACACTGAAATTATTTGCAGTAGTTACACATTGCCGGTATACAACGAAGACAAGTCGCCGAGGACTTCTACCTAATGCAGCTAGAAAAACGGATATTCCATCAGTTCCACAGATACACCTGCGTTCAGTACATGCTGCAGATCAAAAATATGCGCCGAGCTGAAAGTCATTACAATAGGTGAGGCAACAATGTGGATATGCGCGTCTAATTTAATTAACCGCAGTCGAATACGTCTACACTACTTTTACCAATGGAAATCCTACCCGGCGATTATGGTAATTGAAAGGGCCAAAGAGGAAAAGAAGCGCAAATGGAGGGAGAAGGTATGGGAAGTCCTGCCGAATTACCAACCAGTCTTGGATACTTCTTTTTAATTGTAACAAGTTAGGTTAAATTAAAGTCTGTGTTAAAGTCGTAATCGTCTTCCTTCAAACCGTCAGTAAGCGTAAAATTTTCTAGTCCCGCCGACAACTGCAAAGAGACCTTCTCCTTTCTTCGCTCCTTCTTCTTGTCTTTCTTAAATTGTTGTTTGCGAACGCGATTAAGTTGCTGGTTACCTTCCAGTTGCATTTCTGGATCGGGTTTCGCCATGTTCGATTCCTTTTTCTTCCTCTTGGTGGTTTTCTTTGATGATACGCTTATGTTGTCAGGTAACTGAAAAACAATTGAAATTACTAATGTTAACGGATATATTTTGTGTTAATTATTTGGGGTCATATTTAAAAATTTGTGCTTCTTGAAAAAGAGCTAAACCCTCTAGAAAAAAGAACTACTTAAGTAAGGAAAAAAAGGAATTTTAGATGGAAATTTGTTGCTATTGTTTTCTAAATTACGCCATGCGGACGTTTTGGTTATAGCACCTACAGTAATGTTGGGTCACCCTGTATGTTTAATTTCAAAAAGCCTAAAATGTCGTAGTTAATTTGGATTAAACACAAATCCGATCATATTATTTGAATTCAAGGTCAATTTCATTTCGTATGTGAATTATTTAATGTTGCTAAATGCTAATTTTGTTTAAATAATCGCTTTGTTCATTTTATTGTAAAGTTTGATTTACGTAGTAAAAGATAAAGTTTAATGTTACTGTCAAAGTTATATAGGAGTCCTTAACTCTGCGTATGCTAATTAGCTTCAAGATAAGCATGTGTTATCGCCGAAGTAAGTAGATGTTAATCGAGGCTTGGACGTTATTTGTTGCAAAACAATCAAATTTGTCAGTATCAAAGTTTTCTGTAAGATAGTCAGTTCTGTCTGTTAGATGGCGCTCATGCTGAAGCGATACACGATACGCATGAACAGATTCTTGAAATTCAAAGGGAGGCGATAAATAAGGTTCACAGTCGCGCGATTGTACCTTTATTCATTGAACATATCTGATGAGATCTGTGGTTAAATAAATAAAGAAGTCTTGCACGAATGATAAACAGTTGTATTTAATGGCAAAAGGCAACAGACAGTTTTCAATGTCTATTATTTAGTTACTATCACTCTCATACCAATGTTAAGTACATTCGAAATCATTAAGGACTGGCTAGTTGATTTTCCCATCAACAATATCATATTTGACATTCAATACCTTCTGAAACGTGCGTGAATCTGAATGTGTTCTGTCAGGATATCTCCCAGCGTACTCTTGACGCCAACAAACAATTGCGGTAACATTCTCCAATAATTAATACCATACCAACCATTTCTCCTTGGGTTTGGAACATTTTCGCATTGTTTATTAAAAAACAATGTTACACTGCCGGTAATTTACTGATAATTGTGACAATTGAACATCTTTTGTTTCATCATGGCACACTTGGGTTCGGAAAAGAACTTTTTTTTTACAAATTGACGTTTTGACTTGATTTTTTTCTGAAATTTTTCTAAGGAATGTGTGGTTTTGATTATATGAGTGGAAAATTTATAGCTTTGGCTACCCAAAGGTATAATTTGTTTAGACGGGTGCTATTTGAAATTTTAAAAAAAATGTGACATTTGGCGAAGGTCAATCAAAAATTTAATTTTTCGATAAAGTACCTAGAAAAATTGTGACCGTAGAAGAGGTCTTAACCTATGACTCAGTCCAAAACTTAGCCGCCTACGCGATGTAGTTTCTCTCCAAAAAAATTTCGAAAAACTGTCCAATTTTGCCGAAAAAAGGTTACATCGAAATCGTTAAAGTTAGGTGTATAACATGCTACATAAAAAAATAGTATTTTTTTAAGTGGATTCCAAATTAGTAATTTAAATTTAAAAAAATGCAAGTTTGATACGCCACTGGAATACAGCACGTCCCTGGTGATCAAAAATATTTTAGAAATATGGTGACGGTAATTGTGTACAATTTTGCGCAAAGACTTTTTTCGGTATCTTTTATGGTAAATGAGTTATGATCTGAGGGATCTTAGGTGCTACACCCTGTATAATAATTATATCCTTCCATTTGAACTTTTCAAAAAAACCTGCAAAGTTTATGCTAATGTCACATCGCGCCCTCTACAACTCATCCCATTTACTAAAAAGACTCTATTCATGTAAAATTTGATTCCCCGAAAAGAGCTCTTTCCAACAATTATGTGAAAATCTGTTAACCTAATCCGAAGTTATATTCAATTCCTTAAAGAGATGTTCCGTTTCCCCCACCTATCATATTTTATGAGGCAGGCATGTCAAACTCAGTTATCATCAAGGGTCATTTTAAGGTTTCCACTTATAACTGCGGGCCACATCATAAAAGAGTCTACATAAACAAATTTTGATTTTTTATTATTAACAAAATAATACAAAAAAAACGAAAAAATGCAAATAATCATAAAATCATTAGTGCGCGCTCAAAAAAATGTACCGTGTGTCCTATTTTAGTTGAGACTGCAGTGTATTCCAGCTGTTTTTAAAGATAAGAGACTAGTCTGAGATATAGGGTGAATATGAAAAATTGCACTTTTTGTGGAATCTGACTATCCATGTAAGATAGAAAAAAGGTACAAACTGCCTATTTTAGGCATTTTTACGTAGAATCGAGTGACGTCGTAAAAAAAACATTTGGACAACCGTTTCTGAGATTTGACCTAAATTTGATATTTTTTAAATGCAACACCTTGTATTGTATGTTAACGTCAATTTTGTTCCATTCTTTTTCGTGATTACATTAATGTATCATCCTATATTTATTTACCATTTTTCAATCAACAATAAACAAAACAAAATCTCCCATGAATCCATGGCCTACTATTTAAAGAAGTAAAAAAGGTTTTTATTATTGTTTCATCGCTAAAATTTAAAAAAACAGGTTGTGATAGATCAACGTAATCAGGAAAAGGAATGATAAGAAATTGACGTTAAGATATACAGAGTGTTACATTTACTAAGTACCAACTTTGGGTTTTTCGTTTTCACCCTGTATCTCAGAAACAAACGCAGCTAGATTAGTTCTGTTTGTGGTATTATAAGTTTCACAAAACCGCAAGTCTATCTTTAAAAACAGCTGAAATACACTGCAGTCTCAGCCAAAATAGGACACACGGTACGATTAAATTTTATAATTTACAAAAATCGTGATGGGCCGCAGGTTTCAGAACGGGGGGCCGCGAGTTTGACATGCCTAAGCAATATGTGCTGCATCAAAATGATGCAAAATTGCAATGCATGTATTTTTTATGCTACATTTTAGAAAAAAAGTCATTTTTCTACTTAACCATGAATCGTACGCCCTCTAGCGGCAAATCTAGAAACTCGGAAATAATTTCCAGCAATTTCTCTCTTTTGTTAACAAAAATTTTTTCCCGAAGTTGTGCAATTACCGGTTCTATAGATATGGCCTGTGACCTTTATTAATGGGACACCCTGTACGTCCATAGCAATATATCGTCACAACATATCGCTTATCTTATATCGTTTCCGTATGAACAGCGCCTTATAAAGTTTTGTAGAAGTTGTGTATTACGTTACATTTGATAAGTCAAGTTAAGTGAAAGCGTTTTTACGTTTAAGAAGAAGTTTCCTTTGTCCATCATCAATGGCCAATACTATAATTTTAATTACAACGAAGTCAATTTAATTTGTTCTATCGATCGCTTGTTGCATGGTATTTGTTGTAGCCCTGAGTGCCTATTTTTTTATTTATATCGAATAAATGTGTTCCATCTGTAAATGGTTAGTTTTGGGTTTAATCGATCCCAAATTACGATCTATTATTTTAATTTTTTAATTCAATTTAATTTAATTATTTTAATTTAATTATAACATATTTTTAGTACTTAGAGTTGTCCGGGCTTTGTGGTTAAGTGGTAGAGCGTTGGACTATAAATCCGGAGGTCGGGTGTTCGAACCTGGGTTGAGGTGAATTTTTCATCTGTGGCAGAGATGGGAATTTCCTTAGATCAGTTTCGAGCATTCTACCGGCTACTCCGAATTAAGTTTTCCTGCAGTTTTCCTAATTCGTAAGGTAAATACCGGAGTAGTATAGAACAACTTAAGACCTTCTGCAGAGGCACCTCTAAAAATCATTATGCGGGTCACTCTGTAATTGGGCGCAAGCCTGTTGAGGGCCCAGAACAAGAGAGAGATAATAAATAATAATAATAATCTATCTAAAATCCTACCATACAGCTACATATATGATATTTTTACACTATCATGTATTGAGTAGATGTAGTGTAGTGATCTAGATAAGAGTGTTCATAAATGTTTCTATTTTGTTCTCAGAATGACATCCGGTGTTAATTAAAATTTGTTTAATTAATTCTTTGGACTTTTGGAAGCGGTTAATGCTACTGAATTTTTCAAATTAATAAAATCTACGTTAATATCGGCATTTGCGTCGTGACGGAGGCGTGCCCTAGAAAAATTATAATGATTTCCTTTAAAGTTTTGGTAGTACCTGTAACGAAGCACTCAGTTTTCATACCTGATTTTATGAACACACTGTACATAGATCACCGCTACCAGCTTTATTGAATACCCTGTATCTAGATTCGTTGCGAAAAGTGTTGAGTTGGAGACACAAGTAGAAGTACCTACTTTAGTCTGTAGCGCCCTCTTAGCCGCGAACAAGGAAACCAGTTTCTGTATATAATTGATCAGTTTTATTATTGTTCCGGAAGAGATATGTAAATTATTATTGTAGTATTCGACAGCCCTCAGCATGGGGAAACAAGGGAATATTTTGAAATTTCAGCTCAGTTATTATTAGATGATTTTGGTTTCCTATGCTAATTTAAAATGAGGATTACAACTGCAGGGCCGTGCAGTCTTTATTGCAGACCTAAAATTCCGGGTAACAGTGGGTATTACTGGCTACTGAATTTGTGAATTTTAATCGATATAGGGTGTTCCATTTACCATGTCGGTATATACACGACTTTTATGGAACATCCTTTATGTCTACAGATATGTTCAGGTTATAAGACCACAAAACTGTTCTTACTATCAAAAACAAACCTCTTTATGTAAGGCTTTGTGAATCTTCTCATACATTCTTCCCCGAAAGCTATTCTTACTTAATTGGAAGAATGGCCATCGCTCTAGGACCGATACTTACGATATCTTTATCTCCAGGTTGCCTGCTAGTGTCTTCCTCCATTGCTGTTGTAACGGGTCCAAAACTAGAAATGACCAACCCTGACCGTTTGTCATCCTTAGCATCGTGAATTTCATTCAAAACTTCCGTCTCCATACTTTCAAAATTTTCTAAATCAAACTCTTTGACGCTTTCGGTTATGATCTTACTACTAACGTGCACATCGCCGTCACTATCCTCAGGTGGCACGGTATAGTAACGAATTTTGCCCCTGAAAGTTTATCATTTAGCTACAGGAGAAACAAACGGGTAGTCATACTGATTCCAATCAGACAAGAGGTCACGTGCTGCCGCTTCACAATTCGGTACACCCCCCTTTTTAAAACGACCGGTTCGCGATGCCTTCAAGCTGTAAAACTCCTCCGGGCTACTGTACTCGTTAATGTCGTACATCTCCATCATCTGTTCCTTGGTGACACGCTGCAAAATGCAATTTGCCGGCGTTATTGGATCAGTTAAAGACGCCACACGGACGGCATTACGCAAACAAGCACTGGCGTCAGAGCTCGACGCGAACACAATACCCGGCGAGTCCAACAGCTTTATTTTCGAATCCAACTGCACCTCCTGCATGGCCCGTGTCACGCCAGGCGTCGCACCGATGTTGCACGCTTTCGAACGTTTCAAGCTGTTGATCAACGAGCTCTTACCGACATTAGGTAGACCGACAATACCGACAGTAATCGACGTTTTGACCCCCTTATTCCGACAGTAATTAGCCAGCAAAGACATCAAAAGTTCCGCACCAACACACGAGGATCCTTTCAGTACATTCTCCTCCTTTGACTTTACGAACTTCTTCTGGCCTAACTTGTGCGCCTGGTTTTGTGTGGACGCCTTGAAGGCGACGGCCGGTGTAGATTTACGCAGATATTTCAACCACTTATCTAAGATGTCACGAGGGACCAGATCTGCCTTGTTGAGAACAAGGACGAGACGTTTATTTCCAGGTGAATTCGCAACCGCCTGTTCCACCTGCATGCACCGAGTACCTTGGGGATCGCGCGCGTCGACGACTTCCAAAATGACGTCGGCGGCCTCTACGACTTTCTTGAACTCTTTGTAGTACGCCTTTAATGAACTCTCTTCTTTTTTAGATACCTCCTTGTAATCCGATTCTGGGCTTAACGTTTCGTGCAAGTCCTCACGAGCCTGTGCGTTGGCAACCAGGCCTTCTAAAGTTTGTCCCTCGGCTTTCTTTCGTTGCCGCTCAAGTTTGGCAGCCTCTCGCAGCTGCCTCCGTTCTTCTTCCTTTTCTTTTTTAAGTCGTTCGACTTCCTTCAATATGTCTTCCTTAAATGGGCAAATATTTGGAACTTGGATGAGTTTCTGTTTTTGCTTCGCCTTTTTTGTTTCCTTGCGCACTTTCCGATTGTGATCACGCACTTTCTTTTCAATTTTGTATTTTAACTTCGCCGGTTGTCTCTTCGACTTCTTTCCTGAAATGATTACTTGTAATGGATGCACAATAATCGATAATTTACTTACTTAAATATAATTTTGCCATTCTTGTACTTTATTTTGAAAATATTCGTATCACACGTGTTTATAAATAACATAACCTAAAAATTAAAGGACCAAAGCAGTGGCGCACGTGATCTTGCCTGTCAACTACCAGTGGTTAACAGCACGGAATATACAGGGTGTTTTTTGGATGCCGGTGGAAAACAATTCGAGCATCGATTGTAATTTTATACGTTTATATCTCATTTGAATAAATTTGTTGATTTAGAAAGAATTTCTACAGTACTGTGGCAGATGATTCGCGAGGAAACTATGACTGAAACAATTGATGCAATTTTAAATAACTCAATGCCTTGACATTGTTGTATGGCCCCATCTTAAAAAAAAAACCGTGTATAAAATCTAAATAGAGCGTATTCATTTCATTTATTCATAAATAAGGATATTCGTTTCTCATGTTTAATAACCTCATCTTTTTATAGTTATTGAAATATGAAAATGGAAATTACAAAGAAGGATAAATCTGAAATTCAGAACATAAATTGTAAAAATTGTTAAGTCTACATCGGGCAACGAAAATAGAAAATTAATGATAACTCGCATGGCTTTACGTTAAGATAAATCTCGTGTTGTCCCTGTCCGACATATGCTTAAAAATAACCATACAGGGTGTTACATATAAGTATGTAGTGTACTTATAACCCCCAGGTTCTACGCTAACTTCACACTACAAGAACACGGAAACAAAGTCAACCCGGCAACGTTTAAAAATGGCCCCCCGAATGACTATTCCCTCCAAAACTAAACAAGATCCCGCTTAAATTTGAAAAGTGGCACGTGATAAGACATCTAAGACAGGGCCCCCTTACGTTAGTTGTAAACAACGCTTTGGCATGAAGCACAGTAGGGAAGGAACGTAAAATAGAACACTCAAATTGTGAAAAGTTTGATTAATAATGATCGCAATTATTAAGATTGTGAAAGCTCGGAAATTTAAGTCGAAATAAATTACATTGCAAAACTAAACTTTGAAAATGGTAGTTCACTGAATAAAAATAGAAATAGACTGGGAAAAAAAAGAACTTACCAATAAAAAAACCAGTCGTGAAATTAATATTAAATTGTGTAGTAAAATTAATTGTTTGTAATGATGTGAATGCGTAACGTAACATAAAATTATAACATCGCAAAAAGTAGCAAGTAAACTTCAAGAGGTAACAAATAGGTTAAAAACAAGTTTTGGGTCAGATAAGCAGGTACCAGGATTCTAAGAAAGGGTGAAATACACAGGATGTGACTCATCTTTGGTGCAAGAAAGTCCTTTTGTTAAAAGCAAGATGGAAAATTACATAGCCTTGTAGGTAAATTTAACTAAAACAAGATATATGGAAATTACGAATCGTAACTCATTTATCGCAGATAGATTCTAAACTGAAGAGGTTTGATTAGCGTAATCCCGCTCCTGCAAGATAGGTAACCCGCCCCTGGTTTCGGGGTTTCAAGCCCACAGTTGGATGTCGAAGACAATCACGGAATTAGGTGTCGTAGCTCAATTTTGACTACAGTTTTTACCACTCCCGTGACTGCTTCATTCATGGAGAAAATTGTTAGTTACAAACAACAAGTCAATACATACATCAAACGAATCGGTAATTTCCACATATTAAAATAAAATGATCAAAACTTATATGAATGCTACTTCAGGGACAAGACCAAGTAATCAACATTAATAAACATAAATTAAGCAAACATTAGACCAAAAACGTACAAACAAAGGGATCACGGTATTAAACCTGTCATTCTGCATTACGGTTAATCCAAGTAAATTTCAAAAACAAAGATTGAAACACACAAAAAATATAAAATGCGGCATACAAAACACAAATACCATATAAAGAAATGCAAAAATTACTACCTGCATTAAATAACACAAAATGACAACAAACATTTATGGAGCGACGCGTTCACGACCGCCATTCAAGACAATATGCTCAACGTAACCCCCGTTCGTGCTTTCTAGATGGCGCAGGCAGCTTTTCCCCACCTAGAAATTGCATGGTTGCCAACTCTCAAAAATGTATGTATCGTCGTAAGTTGTATATACAGGGTGGAACCTCTCAAACAATTTGTTTTGTTTTGTATTCTCATCGGGAGAAATTTCTGAGTTTGTAACCAGTCTTATTAGACTTTTTATTTCCAGAGGTATATACTTTAAAGTAGGTATTTAAACAATGGTAATACAAAACAGCAATTACTATTGCTCTCCGCATTTTGCGTCACCTGTGTCTGTACTCCACGGCGATCGGCACGATATTGAAACGTCTTGCGCTAACCAACTACGCGCTGGCGCTGAGCTGTAAGAGCCGATGGTCAGTGTGACTCTAAAACTAGCCTTAAGTAAGTACATGGCAAAAGTACATTATATTGCTATATATTAAATTTGTTTATACACATGTTAATGTTTGGATATTTTGTATCCTTCATCTTCAATAGGGATTTCAAAACAGATTGAGTAGAAGTTCTTTTTACTTCTTATGGATTGAAATTGAACCCATCTGTTTTATACCACTTTTGGCGGTAGATCTGGTTTCGCATGTCATTTTTGTGGTCAAGGTAGTTCGTACCCTAGTAGAGCAGAGTTGAGAGTTTCGGTTCGTCCGGAGGGTGTAGAGGAAGACGCATAAGACTTTTTCCCATGTTTTGAAATCCCCGTCCAACAGGTGTCTTTTCTTTATTTCTTGGTTTCGTTTCTCGACCGGAAATTGGGTTTGTGGATGAAATATGGGAGCGTTTAAGGCAGCGATCCGGACCGGACTACAAAAAAACCACAAACCGTACCGGTTCCCTTGATTACAAGTTCTTGAACGTCTACAAATTCAATCCGTTCCGGTTCTTTTCGGTTCAGGTTCCAACCTCTGGCAGCCACTCGGGAAATGCCAGGCGACAATAAACTACCATTAAAAAAGTATTCATGCCACATAGCAAAATTGTAAAAACGTGTTGTTTGAGTTAAAAACGCTGCTACATGATGAAGAGGAGAGTGGGGAGGACCCGCGGAGGTATAACCAAAAGCGCAGATTGAAAGGAAGAGCAATGAAATATTGCAGGTCGTTTATTTTGGAACAAAGTAAATCTGAAAGAAGGGCTTTTGCAATAACGTAACGAAATGGTAACAATCGCCAAGGGAAGAGGGGTCGACGAATGCGATGGAAGATTGAGGAGGGCCTTCTTTACTACAAAAAGACCAACCTGGAAGGTACATTCGGCGTGGATTTATTACCTTCAGTACCAGTAGAGGTCAGAGGCGCAGACTTTATGAATTCTTTCGAGGATACTGCAAGGGCGAAAGCCACCCTTCTTTGACATTCTTTAGACTTCAAGAATTCGCAGTGAGAGAACAAAAAAAGGAAAACTTAACGAATCAGGTGTAGCGGAATATTTCTTACCAAACAAAAGTGAAGAAGGGACGACAAACCGGATGGACTGGATGGAATGGATTTTTATAGGGGGAAAGGTGTTTTCGTTCTCGTTAGGAATATGGGATGAGGGACTTTTTTTATTTGTAGCGTCACGAGTTTGGAGATCCGTAGTATCAACCCTTGGCCCAAATCATTTAATAAAAGGCAGATTAACTTTTCGGGTTGTAAATACAGACCCCCTTTGTAAAAGGGCCCGAAACATTTTTTACACGGAGACCATCAAACTTAGTCGTTCGAAACGGCTCTCTACAGAAGTGGTTTTCGGAAACTCCTAAAATTCACATTCGAAAGACTAGCTAAAAACTTTAACTTTAAAAATATCAAAATAAAAATGTTAATATTACATTTATTACTTATCACATTATAGTATAACTTTAATACCTATGCCTTATGAAACGTGGAAGCTTACTGAAAGGTTTTTATTCTAGGCCACACTCCATACACCTGCATGACGAGGGGACAGCGAACTGTCTCTTTAAAACAAATCCATCTTCGCAGTCTAACTCTATGGAAATTGTCTCGTAGTTTTCAGCTTGACAACAAGAACACTGGGACTCGTACTGCGCTTCCACTGAAACGATATTATTATTGGACTGTTTCCGCTGAAAAATTCGCTTACGTTTGTTATATTTGGTGGACGAATCGCAGCCGCCAACGCATTCGGTCATGCCAGGCAATTCGCCTTTATTCACGCAATTCCCGTGATCATTAGTTTCGACAATTAAGCCAACGGTGTCTTCCAGATTAAGTGGTTGAACGACGCAGTTGTCTACAATTGAAATATTGCAATCGTATGCGAGCACGAAGCACGTTTGATCTTACGCGAGGGTTCCGTGGTCACGTTGCAGTGTTCGCAGCATCCCAGCTGGTACAGATTTTCCGGAGCACATTCGCTAACGTCGGGACAAGACTCTGTCGTGGTCATAATCGAAAATTGTCCTTGCAGAAGTTCGCAGCTGGAAACGGAACAGCCATCTTCCGACGTCCATTGCTGGCCCACCTGTTTCAGCTCGTTATCAATGACACAAGCGGTCTGTACGCATGCTCCACAACACTGGGAGCTCGACTCCTCGTACTCCCAACCTAGCTTGCACTCGGTCTTACAGGTCTCCGTCACTACCTCTTTTTTGACATGGTTCAAAGCATTTTGAATACACGTAATATTCTTGCATTTGTCACCGTCCGGCGACGGCCAGCTTTCTCCAATCTAAGATTTATTGCTTATGCCAAACAAAGTTAAACAGTGGGATAAATCTTACCTGGTACACATTACCGTCCACTTTACACGCTGTTGGTCTGAATTCTTTGCAGCAGGATTCCGGTACTGTAACCTCTTCGACCACAAAATTAGCGTTAATATCATCGGGTATTTTTGGACAAGTTATCGTATTGGATTTGATATGTACCTAAAAGACCGATTGTATGGGATAACCCAGATTTGGAGACCTACCAGATTGGTTTCGTTCGTGCAAACGTAATCAGTGCAGTGATCGTCAGATGTCCACTCATCTCCAATTGGATAAACCACGTCGTCCATGACACACCCCACCACCTTACACGAGCCGCAACACGTTTTATCCTCATCTGACGCGGCAACGTATTCGGATCCAAGTTCGCATTTTGTCGCGCAATGTTTCACTTGCTTCACTGTCTCTACGCCGGTGGTAGTCTCATTACAGTGGAAGGTGACGCAATAGTCGTTTTCGACAGTCCAAATGTCACCAATCTCGTGGACGAGTCCATCGATAACGCATCCGACTTGCATGTATATCGGGCAACATTCTCCGGGTACCCCAACTGGCTCGTACTTGTAGTTAAAATCGTCAGGAGGCGGTGCGCAATCGGATTTTGTACAAGACTCGTACAATGCACCGCTTGGAGTTAGGATACACTTGCAGCGACGACACGGTCCATCCTTCCAACTTTCGCCCTTTTCTTTTAGTACCAATGTAACATCATCTTGCGGTACTCTTGCTTCACCACCAACTTCGCCGTCCTTATACTTTAAAGCAACGATACATTGATCTTTTGGAGGTTCACAAGAGTATAATTCGCAACAGGCGCCCTGTTTCGAAACCACCGTATAGAACTGTTGGCATGCAGGTTTTGGCGGACACGCGTCGAGCTTACAAGATTCTTTCACCGTGGGACAGCATCCGCTATTGTCTATTTCGTTGACCACGCCAACTTCCGGTACCGGTAAGGTTTCGAGATGAAGAGCCGGACAATCTTGGGGTGGCTTGCATTCGCAGACAAATTGCGCGCAGCCGTCCGACTTCGTTATTAGTTTTACTGCCTGGTCTGCGGCGCAAGGTATTTGCACCGGAGGATCGCAAGGCCTGGCGGTTGTTGTGATTGCCACTAAAGCGGAAATGTATATATTTTCACGTTAGCTATGTCTTACCGCAGAGGAATTTGTCGCAGCACTCGTCCGGCGCGGGAACTGTGACCATTTCGAAACCATCCTGGCATACGTTTTCGGTCGAAGGACATGTTACTTTGGTACAGCTCACCTTGGAAGTATCACATGTGCATGTCGTGCAGATGTCAGGTTGCCAAGTGTCTCCAGGATAATGTCCCTCGGCGTCGCATGTTTTACACTTGTCGATCGGCACGCAGCTGGTTCCATTAAGTAACGCCTAAAGGGAGAGGTCACCAACTGTCAAATTGCCATACTCTCACCTGGCCCTCGGGACAGTAGCACCCATCGATACTGAGCTCGGAACAACTTTCATTATCCAAACTGTCACACGTTCGTCCGCAGCTGGACTCGCACGATTTATACTCTAAGCCTGAGGGACACGAGGCCGGACACAATTCAGAATGCCAATCCACGCAGATTCCTAAAGTGAGACATTCCCGTGCATACGCTTCAATCGCGTCGCACACGACGATGGGTTTATCATGGCAACTGTCTTCATTACACCATTCAAAGAAGAGGTTCGGATCTAATTCTGCGTTGCACTAAAAATTACAGTTCATTTAAGGATGCGTTTCCAAAGTATACAATGATACAAGATGGTTATTATTATTCCAATCGGTACAACCTCAAAAATTGTATTCAACGAAAACGATAAATATATTATTATTATCATTATTATTTCTTGACCACTACAAAACTAACGTTCTGTTATTAATAAAGATTAAAGAGCATTTGGACTATATTTCTATGTGTCAATTAAGAATAATTTCCGTGAGGTGTCCCCTATAAATTCCCCTCATGTGGTAATGATCTTTCACCAAGAAACTACAAAACAGTACTCTCTGATTCGTTACAATAGGCGCTCGAATTGCAATCGTTACGTGGCTGGTCCTACAAGTAGACTTTTGTTTAGAAGCGCCCAGGTTCCGAATGGGACACAAGGGGAGTAATCAAAACATTTCTCAAAAAACACACCTCAAAGTGCGCGGAGTTAATTTGAGTCGTAAACGTGGAGGGCCAATCCCATATTGGCGGGTTGTTACAAAACAGTGGGGTGACTTGATTAAGGGAGGAAAATTGCACAAAAAATATGAATTGCTGTTGCGATAGAAACCGCACTGCGTTTACTCGTCTAACTTGACTTTGTGACTGATAGACAGCGAAAGTTCAAAGTCCTCCCTCTACCTCTAGCCCTCAAACGTTGGGCCAGAAACGTGGTTAATACGTTATTTTTACCTTTGTCGAAGGTGTCTATGAAGCTATGGATTTTAAAGTCGACGCGAATCCCTGTAGCAAGTGGCCTCTTTTGGCTTGGAAACATTTGGTTTCGAATTTAGAGACTTGCCAGTAAGTACCTATATAAAATTTTATACCGCTTCATAGTGAACAAGAGCAGAACTAAAATGCACCAGAATGAAGCGCTTTCAGGTGAGACGCGAGTGTGCACGCAGATAGGACTCAAGGCGTCACAGTGATGCCGGTTCTAAAAGACGGTTCTTAGGGGGAAAGAGGGACGGATTTTCTGCTATACCCTTGCATGTATAAACAATTGAAAAGGAATGCGATGTTTACTATTTTTATTAGAAGCGTCTATGGTTAGAGAGAGACAGAGAGAGATCTTCATAAGTGAAAAAGTTGGCATGCGCGCATTTGATTTTTACTGTGTGCGATGTGTTTGTCTTTGCTAATGACATTTGTAGTTTTCGATGCTTACTACATGTGATATGTTTTTCTTTACTAGAAGCATCTATGGTTAAAATTTCAAAGAAATAAGGAAGTTGGCACTGACTACGTATGCGCCCAGCTAATGATCGCAATATCAGATATGTTTGTCTTTAACAGAAACATTTGTGATTAAAATTTCAAAAAGATATCTCGATAAATAGGACAGTTGATATTTATCTGATATTTACAACATGCGATACGTTTGTTTTTACTAAAAGCATCTTCGGTTAAAATTTCAAAGAAATATCTCCATAAAGAAGAAAGTTTGCACATCTGATTTTTCCTATATGCAATATATTTACCTCTACTAGAAGTATCTGTGGTTAAAATTTCAACAAAATATATTAATAAGTAAAAAAGTTGATATTGCGCAACCTGCGCATGCGCAGTTTAATCGATTTTCCTTGGCTCAGGTGCCACTATCGAATCGAATTAAAATCGGAAAATGCGCTAAAAACGTGACCGATTCTTGGTTTTCGTTGGGTCCATTTAGGTTTTTGGGCTCGGCGACTATATTAGCAAAAATTGGGTGCGAGGGAGAGAGAGAGACTTTTCCCTGAACCTTAAAAGCGAACCTATGTAAGTCGAGCGTGGCATTATAGATAGCGGAGCATGTATTTTCGACGGAAAGTTTCAAGCCGAATTCGCATAATCGAACTATACGGAAGATTTAACAGCCCGCAATCATACGGGAGACTTTTATTGCGAAAGTTGAGGTTAATTGACGAATTACAAGGGAAAACTGTGCCGCTAATTCGACGAAAATATAGTATTAACGCTTAATTAAATTTTATCACGAAAGTATAGGGGTCAAAAGTACAAAGTGTTTCATTGCGTTTATACTTGCAGTGGTACGATAAAAAAAACAAGTTTATTAACCAAAATTGTGCGCCTCTCTTGTTTATATGGGGCGATAATAAGATTCTGAATTAAACGCCACCTGATAAAAAGTCTAAAGACAATTAATTAGTGCTTTTTGCTAGCTGTCAAAACCCTAACTAAGACGTTACACCATTAGAAAACACTTGAAGGGTCAAAGGATGTCAAAGCTGCTCCTGAAAGTCATTCACGTTCCCTTACCGGCTCTTGTAGCATGTGGTGCAGATCTGAGGGAAACGGTTAAGAGACACACTAATCGCATCACTTAAATCAAATAATCCTCAAGCTCAGTTCTGTAGCATTGCGCGTTCTGTTGCGCTTACTTACCTCTTGGAATCTGTCGGATACCAAAATTTTGCACGTAACGTCACCGGTGTTTTCGCAAACGACCGGTGGCACAATTTTGCAGTCCGCCTCCTTGTTCTGATCGGAAAGCCAGCTCTCGCCAAACTGCTCGTTCGTCTCGGCGATAGTCCTGTTGGGCATAACGAAGTCGTCGTGTGGGTTTTCGTTGCAGTTTCCACACAAGCCCTCCAGTTTGCCGCCGTACTTAACCGACGGAAGCGCAACGGTGATGGAGAGCGAGGGATAGAATATGGTGACCTGAGACGGGAGGTATTAGACGAATGAGTAGCATGCGACGGTATACCTACCTTGGCCGGTACTTCTGGTAGTCTAACTTGGACGTTTTTGTTGGGCTCGGTTTCTATCTTAGCCCAATCCGTATTGAAGTCCGATACAGAGACGCCGTTCACCAAGATATCGGGCTTATCGACGAGATCGTTCTTTTGAACCTTAATTTCTTTGTCTTCGTACACGATTCTGATGTGTTCAACGCAAATTTGGGTTTTGTCATAAGTGCACTTGGCATTCTTCGCGAAGACCTGCCGGATGTTAAATGTGGAGATAGTGTGAGACTATTTTGATACTTACAGTGAAGGTATTTTCGCCTTGTTCGTCGGGTATATCCTGAGTCACTATGTACTCACATTCGCCATCAATAGTAAATGATCCCTTGTCGTATGTAATATACTTCAAGTGGGGTAACACGTGGCAAACACAGTCTTCACAGTCGTTTGGCACCACGCACTCTTTGCCTTTTCGCACGTAGCCCGGTGGACAGTAGCATCCCGGGAAGCAGAACTCGTCTACTTTAGGACAACTGTAGATGTTGCCACAGGTCGGTTCGCAAATCTTGTTGTAACAGTCGTAATGTACAGAGGGGGGTTCGCAGATCGTCGCTAGAAGAAGCATTTTTATACGCCGCCGGCAGCAAAGGGGCTGAGCACTTACGACAATGATACTTTGTTCTCCAATCCCAAAGCTCTATTAGTGGATTATGCGCTTCGCATTGAACAACGAAATTTTCCAATGCTTGGCAGAGACATTCGTCTTTGCTTTTTCCTCCATTTACGCAATTGCAAGTGTTTTCAATGCACTCCGCCAAAAATACGTCTACGTTCACGGATTCTGCGCATTCAATGAAAGCTTCCTCCCTGCAATCGGTTATTATTATTATTATTATTTTAGCTTTTTCTCGCTTTATGCGGTTGACCTACAGATGACGGGTAATTACCAAGTCAAAAGTAGAGTATATCTATTGCTGTAGAAATGGTCGAGTTATGGATGCCGTTTTCAGAAGGACTGCTTTTTGTATCTTTGTGTGTAAGTATGGGTAATGTCAAGTTTTTTAAAATGTTGCAAAAAGTTTTTGATAGTAACTCCTGTGACTGAGATGATGAGTGGAACTATTGTTGCCTTATGCTGTTGCCAGAGTTCTTTTACTTCTATGGCCAATGGTAAGTACTTTGTAATCTTTTCCTGCTCCTTTGTCATTACATTGGTGTCGTTTGGTACTGCAACATCTATTATAAATGTTTCTTGGTGTACTTTGTCTATCAGTGTGATGTCTGGTCGATTACTAGTCACTGTTCTGTCCGTATGTACTGTCCTGTCCTAGTAGAGTTTGTGTGTTTTGTTTTCAAGTACATTTTGTGGTGTGTATCTGTAATAGGGTATTTCTGTTTCAATGAGTTTGTGTTTGTATGCTAGTTCTTGATGTATTATTTTGGCAGCCGTGTTGTGTCTTTCGGTGTATTCTGTACCCCCTAATAGTTTACATCCCCCCGTGATGTGTTCTATGGTCTCTGATGTTTGTTGGCATTTTCTGCATGTGTCTGTTTCTAATGCTTCCTTGATTATATATTTTCTATAGTTACGTGTTGCTATAACGTTGTCTTGTATGGCTAGTATGAATCCTTCGGTTTCTGGGAAAAGTTGACCTTTTTTAAGCCATTCATATGATAGCTGTTTATCTATTTGCGGATTCTGCATGATATTGTAATGTTTGCCGTGTAGCGCTTTTTTCGACCATTGTTCCTTCTTCTGCGTTTCCATGAGTGGATGATGTTGTTGTTGATGTATTTGACTTAGATTTAGATTTAGAAAGAAATATTGTGGTTGGTTAAACTCTGTATTTCTAAAAGAATATTTGGTGACCCCGAAATGTTGAAACGTATCTACCATGGATGCCCTTCAGAGAGCCAGACGACCAGTTCGGAATGGAGCTAAAAAGAGGATCGCTGAGTTAAACAGACTGTTCCAAGTGGAACCAATTTCGAAGGAAAGGATTCAGTTTGTACTGAAGACACTGAATGAGGAACAGATTAACTTAGCAGAGTTAGACCAGAAGATTTTAGGTCAGATGGTGGATGATGGAGTTGACGAAACGGATCAAGACACGGAATATGAAGCTATTATAGCAATGAGACAGCAAATAATGACAACTTGTTTTAAAGCTGAAGAAATCATAGAATCTTTGGTACCAGTCGTATTGCCCCCATCCAGTATTACATTTGGATCTGAAGGTGGAGCAAGAGGATTTCGATTACCCAAGATCGAGTTGAAGAAATTTTCAGGAGAGTTCAAGGATTGGTTAGGATATTGGGCTCAATTTGAAAAAATTGACCAAGATAGTTCTTTGCACGGCATGACCAAGATAGTTCTTTACACGGCAGTGATAAGTTTCAGTATTTACTTCAGTCACTTTTACCTGGAACCGATGCACATGAGATAGCAAGTAGCTATCCCCAGTCAAATGAAAACTATCCTAAGGTAATTGAAGCTATTAAACGAAGACACGGGAATGAAAGATACTATTCAAGTTTACATTACGAGAATATTAGAGAAAAATAAATTGACGAAAATGGGTATGAAACAACAACATTGTTTAAGGCAAGTCAGAAGATTCCAGATGTTAAACTGGAGGTGAATTGATGCGAAGTAAAATGGTCATTTCACGTTTTTACGGATGCAAGTGTTTGGCGTATGGTGCTGTGAATTTTCTCCCGCGTGGAACATCTGAGGAGTTTCATACACCTGATTCTGCTAAGTCTCGCCTAGTCTAATGAAGAAGTTGCAGAAGATTTAGTTAAATTCTGATTGAAAAAAGACAAAAACTGTAGAAGTCATATATCATTGACTGTGCAAAATGTTACTAAGAGGCTATACAGTGTGAGCAACAATGAGTTGAAGCTGTGCTCATCACCGCTTTCCTTATTAATATCAAAACTACCTTCTTTATGGAGTTGTAGTACGAAAATGACGTTCTGCGCGTCACAGTGACGTGCTTCTATTCGTATTTCGTTATCTGATCCAAATCAGCATATGCTATGAGCTGGCACAGCCAATTAGCTGAGCGGCACGCTTCAATCTTGTTGCTCACTCGACTTTATGACACATGTCAAGATATTTGGATGGGTATATCGCTTCATTGGTAATTTGCTAAAAAAAAGTAAGGAATAAACCTAAAGTAGATGGTGAATTGACATTTGAAGAGCTAGAGAAAGTAGAAATTATCTTAATTAAATATATTCAAGATGATCATCCGTTGGATGAGAAAACCCTACGTAGACTCGATATTTGTGTAGACCAATTTGGGATTATGAGAGTTAAAACTAAGATTGTTTTATTGGAAGATGTAGAAAGTTTCAAGTTCCCTGCCATTCTTCATGGAAAAAATCCATTAGTTCAACAGTTGATTTTTGATGTACATAAGAAGTTATACCACGCTGGAGTCGGAATTGTGATGACTAAATTGAGAGAAAAATATTGGGTCATGAAAGCACGACGAACGGTACAATCTGTTATTTTCGGATGTGTAAAATGTAGAAAAGTTGGTGCTAAAAATGTTACTGTGTTACCCTCACCTCTACCCTTGGAACGACTAGAAGCTAATAAAGTATTTGAAATAGTTGGAGTGGATGCAACAGGCCCCTTATATCTAAAAAATCAAAAGAAAGTATGGATCATCATATTCACTTGTGCAGTGTTTCGAGCTGTCAGATTAGAAGTTGTCAATTCATTGTCTACGGAAGCCTTCATTGGAGCTTTCAAACAATTTATTAGATTAGAAGGAAGACCAAGACTTGTGATGAGTGACAACGGAACTAACTTTCAAGGATGCAGTAACTTCTCCAAATCATTGGATTGGAAAGTTATTGGAAAAGATACTTTTTTAGAAAAAATTCAGTGGAAATTCAATGTTGCTGCCGCCCCGTGGTGGGGTGGATATTGGGAACGTATCATCCGGATCCTGAAAGATATGATGAAACGATCTATTGGAAAGTCTACTCTCAATAGGAAGGAATTAGATGATTCATTGCTTATTATGGAAGAGGTGATCAACGGGAGACCGCTAACGTATGTTAGTGAAGATTGTTACGGAATTAGTATTAGACGTGGCTGTAGCCACAATTGACGATACATTAGTTAGCGCTAGTTCCCTAATGACCTTCACATACAATTGTCATGACATGTAAGCAAGCCGTCACTTACAATATACTTACTTAAGTAAATCCTGTGTCATCCTTATTTATAATTGTCGCCCTATAATTAACATGGTGTCAGAAGTGTCTTTGTCTTAAGTTGTAATCGTTAAACGTCGTCATGCCAAATCAAGTAGTCGAAACTGCTACCGTCGCTGCTACCACTCCTAGAAACAAGGTAGCTGGATCTACATGTTCCATCCAACATCTTAACATCGCCAGCAAGAATCTGTCTTATGAATGGAAGAGGTGGTTCACCCAATTCAAGATATATTTGAGAGCGACAAGTCTTGAACGGGAAGAGAATGGTCGCAAGGTGGCTTTATTGTTGCACCACATGGGCCCCGAAGCATTAGAAATCTTCAATAGTTTCGATGTCAACATCGATAGTGTAACCTATGACAACTTAATCAGTAAATTCGAGAAACACTTCACTCCAAAAACAAACATTTCCATCGAGAGGCACAAATTTTTCACGAGACGTCAACTTGAGGGTGAGTCGTTAGAAGAGTTCGTTACAGCATTATCAAACTTAAGTCTAACGTGTGATTTTACGGAGCTGCGCGAAAGTCTAGTTAAAGACATCTTTACTTGTGGTCTTAACTCCGGATTCGCAGAAGTTAAACAGAAAATTATATCTGAAGGTGCAATCACACTCGACAAGGCTGTTGAATTGGCTAAGACGTACACATTGTCCAAAATCGAAGCCGCTAGCTGTAGTGTCGTAGGAGCAGTTCATTACAACACAAGTCACAATGAAATGGGTCAGCGCAGGTGGAAAAATCGTGCACACCAAAGGTCAACGAGTCCATCCACTAGACGAACGACACCATCCATTAGACGAACAACGTCTCCCAGTCCGGTAAGCCGAGATCGAAAGAATATCTGTCAAAGGTGTGGTCAGCATCATCGATTCAGGTGCCCAGCAGATGGGGTAAAGTGTAGCTATTGTTTTAAAATTGGTCATTATGCTAAAATGTGTCTTAGAAATAAGAATGTCAAGTCGCTAACTGTAGATACAGGTGATGAATTATTTATAGGGTCAATTTCGTATGTGTGTTCTGTTAAAAAGTCGCAATGGGAAGTACCTGTGTCTATTAATGGTACTATTCTATTATGTCAATTAGACACAGGGGCAGAAACAAACGTCATGAGTTTGACAGACTTTAGTCGCCTTAATTTACAAAAAGGCTTAATTAATGTAAGTCATAATAGCGTTAGAACCGTAAGTGGAGAAAGGCTTGAATTAGCAGGCGAAGTCGATTTAACTTGTCATATTCAGAGTAGTGATCACATAATTAAATTTCATGTCATAAAAGTCGGATGTAAACCTATTCTTGGATTACAAACATGTATCGATCTCAAACTTCTTAAAAGAGTGAACCAAGTAACTTTTAACAAATATGAAGTCCAGTCCACTCAGTCTATAATTACTCAGTATAATGAAGTCTTCAAAGGTCTAGGTCTAATAAAAAGTCAGTGTCGTCTACAAATAAACAAGAATGTGACACCTATAAGGGAACCGTTGCGTAAAATACCATTTAAACTATACGAGTCTCTGAAAACGGAATTAATCAGAATGCAAGAATTAGATGTCATCAGTCCCGTTTCGGAACCAACCCAATGGGTTAACAGTATCGTCCTCACATCTAAGAAAAATGGCAGCATTCGTGTGTGCCTAGATCCGCGCAACTTAAACAAAGCAATCCTTCGTGCGCACTATCCCTTCCCAAGCATCGATGTCATTAGATCTCAGTTAAACGGATCTAATTATTTCTCAACCCTAGACGCTAATTGGGGGTTCTGGACCATTGCTTTGGATGAGGAGTCTTCAAAATTATGTACGTTCATCACACCATTCGGTAGATTTCGTTTTAAACGTCTTCCATTTGGAATTTCAGCAGCGCCAGAGATTTTTCACTCTACAATGACTGAATTGTTCGCAGACATCCCTAACACAGTAGTCTACTTTGATGATCTGCTAATTCACGCACCAACTAAAGAAAAACATCATGAGATATTGGAGCAGGTGCTTAAGCGCGCTAAGGAAATAAATTTAAAATTTAATTTAAATAAGTCTCAGTTTTGTCTTA